TAATGAATGTAAATGTGAATATGCTTTCCGACTATCAAAAGCAAGTCTTCAAAATATATTATGACGGTAAAAGTCCCAAGGACGAGAAAACAAGTAAGTTAATATTAAATCTAAAGGATAAAGAAAAATATGTGGTTCATATCAAGACTTTACAGTATTATTTGAAAATGGGAATGAAAATGGGTAAAGTCCATAGGATAATAAAATTTCAACAGAGGGCATGGTTGAAACCGTGGATTGACTTCAACACTGGTAAAAGGAAAGAAGCCAAAAGCGATTTTGAGAAAGATGTATTCAAATTAATGAATAACGCAGTGTACGGAAAAACTATGGAAGACAAACGAAACCATATGGATTTTGAATTAGTTGATAATGAGGTAAGATATGAAAAATGCGTGAATAATCCAACATTCAAAAACAGATTTATTATAAATGAAAATCTGGTAGGAGTTGAAAAAACTAAAGCGAAGCTGAAATTGGATAAGCCAATTCTCCTGGGAATGAGCATTTTAGATTTAAGCAAATTACATATGTATCAGTTTTACTATGATGTATTGAAAAAGAAGTATAATGAAAACATAAAACTGGTTTATACCGATACTGACAGTTATGTAATTCAAACAATGACTGATGATGTCTATAAGGATTTCAATGATATAAAGCAACACATGGATTTTAGCGACTATCCTGTTGAGCATCCATGTCATGACAAAACTAATAAGAAGGTCTTAGGAATGTTTAAGGACGAAGTGAATGGAAAAATCATTACTAAATTCATCGGATTAAAACCTAAATCTTACGCCTTCACAATTCACGGTGAGGTTGATGAACATAAGAAATCAAAAGGTGTAGTGAAACACAAAGTGAAAAAATAACTGTCGTATCAGAACTATCACGAAGCATTGTTTCAAAACAAAAGGCATGAAATCACATATAACTTCATCAGAAGTAAGTCGCATCAAATATATTCAATGTCTCAAGTAAAGCAATCTCTCAGTAATTATGAAAATAAAAGGTTTTATATTGATGCTTTCACTTCATTACCATATGGACATTACGCTATTACAAAGTAATAGCCTAATGAGCTTCGCGATATTACTCCATAAAATAATTATCCAAATAGTTCTAATAATATGAAATTATTAGAATTATTTTCAGGGACAGGCTCGGTTGGTCGGGTTGCTCGGGATTTGGGTTTTAGTGTCATTTCCCTTGATTTGAAAAATGCAAATATCAATACTGATATTTTGAGTTGGGATTATCGTGAGTTTGATGTGGGTGAGTTTGATATGATTTGGGCATCCCCTCCATGCACCGAATACAGCAGGGCTAAAACCACTGGGGTTAGAAAGATAGATTATGCTAATAGTATCGTTTTGAAAACTCTTGAAATTATAGATTATTTCAAACCGAAATACTGGATAATAGAAAATCCCCAAACAGGATTATTAAAAGAACAACCGTTTATGAGAGGTTTAAACTACTATGATGTGGATTATTGTAAATACGGGTTTAATTATCGGAAGAGAACGAGGTTGTGGTCAAACATTGAAACTTGGAAACCTAGACCATTATGTAATAGGGATTGTGGGAAAATTAGGAATGGGAAACATGTTGAAACAGCACAACGGTTGCCTTCAGGAAAAAGGGATAGTTGGGGAGAGGGATACATCAAACATAAACAAGATGAGTTATACAAAATTCCTACTGATTTGATTAGTGATATACTTGTTAAAACCCGCCCGCCCGATACCTTGTAGTCGTCGAGGGAGGTGCCTTCTGACAAGCAGGACTCACACGTGGGGGTTGGGGTTGTTGTTGTTGTTGTGGTGGTCGGCGGAGGCGTCAGCTCTTGTCAAAAAGAAGCAATTCCTGACCTCGTATCCAACCCTTCCTTTTCGTTAGTAATGGGTGGTTTGCTTAAGCGAATCCCCGTTCGCTCCCACCTCATCACTAACCGGATAGGATGCCACAAACAGAGTGGCAGACCGAATTACGGATACGAGGTCAGTCCTATGTAAGAAGCTTAAAATCCGACAGCTTAGTATTAGGAAAGGAAATGCCCTACTATAGTATTGTGAAATGACTATTTCCAATCCTCTATTTCACTGTTGCGAAATGCACGTTTCACACTGCTGAAACACCACTAGAAACAAGGAAAAACGGTGTTTTGGTTTCATCATTGTGAAATGCTCTCTTTCAGAGCAACCCCTAGCCAAAACTACTTAAAGAAATATTACCTTATATATTAAGAGAAAAATGAACGGTGATGGAATCAATAATTATATCAATAAAAAATGCTATGATTGTTGTCACTTCAAAAAAGAAAATATGGAATTGTATAAATTGAGTTTACCTAATGAAATAGTGAATAATATTATTAATTATTCAATGGATGGTGAAGAAGACATATGTAAAAATTGTTAAACATGGAGAGATAATCAATTTTTAATCAAATGTCTGTTGGGAATAAAAATAATACATAATAGAAATGTAGAAGATGATATTTTAATATTTCTAACTATAAATAAAATACCACCTTACGATTGTGTTAAACAGTTTCTTAAAATCAGTAAGAAAAGATATGAAATGATTGATGATATATTATGGATGTTGGGTTATAGTCAAGAGAAAGGAGAAGATGTTAAAGAAAATATCAAATTATTTATTGAAAGTAAAAAGTTTAATGTTCAGAATACAGTGAGAGATGTTAATATTATTTTTAAAATGATGTATGAAAGAAGTAAGACAAACCAATTAGATTATTATCCTGAACTGAAATTATAATCATAATATAATAATAACATGTAAAATCTTATATGTTATAATTATACTGAACTTTTAACCTATAAATGAAAATTAGTGAGAAACACACTAACAAAACAAATACACCACCAACACCTCAGAACTTGATAACTACTAAAAGGGCTACCTCTTTCAAATGAAAACAATGTCGGCCCCCAGCCCAACAATGAACAAGGCGACAATTTACCCAAATGATTACCTTAACGAAAACGATAAATAAGCTCCCCAAAACACCCCTTTTAAAAACGAATAAGGGGGAACACAGATTTGAGATGAACATAAAAACCAGAACAGGCAACCATCAACAGGCCACCCCCCGGGCCCCCCCTTTTCTCCATTTTTTTGGGGGAAGGGGCAGATCTTAGAGGGGGAAAGGTGGGAAAAGATCTTAGGGAGGAAAAGGGAGAAGATCTCGGGGGGGGGGGGGGAGGCCTTAGGGGGGCATGGGAGGGAAAGATCTTAGGGAAAAGATCTCAGGGGGGGAAAAGGCCTTCGGGGCTAAAGGGGGGAAAGGATCTCCACGGGGAAAGGGGGGAAACGATCTTAGGGAGGAAAAAGGAGATCTCAGGGGGGAAACGGCCTTGGGGGGGGGGGAAAGGGGGGGAAAGAATCTCAACAGGGAAAGGGGGCAAACAAAATCTTAGGGAGGAAAAGGTCTCAGGGGAGGAAAAGGCCTTCGGGGGAAAGGGAAAGGATCTCAACAGGGGGAAAAGATCTTAGGGAGGAAAAGGGAGAAGATCTCAGGGGGGCAAAGGATCTCAACAGGGAAAGGGGGGAAAAGATCTTGGGGAGGAAAAGGGGGAGAAGATCTCAGGGGGGGACGGGGGGGAAAAGATCTTAGAGGGGAAGGGGGGCAAGGGGACAATTCCAAGGACGCAAATAAGAAAGCGGGCCTGTAATGTCGGCGGCCTGAGCCGGAGGCGTTTATATATATATATGTATATATATATATATATACACGTACAAAGCACTCTTCTGGACGCGCAAGCCAGGCATGCCTGGTTCATTGTTTTGTGCAAGAGTGACTAAGTGCAGATGTGAAACTTAACCGGCTACAGACTCTGGCTAGCAGCAATGACAGCACTGATGGCATTGTGCTGAAAGCATTCAAGGCCTTAAAGGGATTGGGAGTCCAGAGTCGCAAACACCCAAAACCTATCAGCAGGTCCAAGCTGACCAGAAGGCAAGCCTGTCAGCACAAGAAGCTCGCAGGTTTGCGCCAACGCCTTGTGTTTGCAAGTGTTGCACATATGCTTTTGTCAGCGCTCCTGGCAGCAACATATTGTCGCCCTCTTTTGTTCTGTGCGCTGAATGAAGTTGCTGATGACTGCTTTGTCACTGTGCAATCTTGGCAACTTTCTCGACAATCAAGCACGTATTGCCCGCAGGCAGGGAGACAGTGTGCGTCAGGCAAAATTTCTTTTCTCGAATGCTAGCCTCAGCACATACTCAAAACCAAGTGAAAAGCTGCATGCTAAAGGCTCGTGAAAAACCAAACGTTGAAACCATTCCGAGAGATCGGCTTCTTGGCTAAGGTACAAAAGGTCTGCGTGGCTTCTCCCGTAGGTAGTCCAACCGCCTCAACACAAGCAACATGGCAAGGATGCTGAGCGATGGGCTGCGACGTGTCTCAGAGTCTCACGTGCCATCGGATGTATCCAACAGGATCCACCCTGAGTCGCGAAGAGCGCTCAATTATTGACAGTCCCCCGATCAGACACATATTGCGGCTTCCATTTGTATCTCCTATTATAGTACATGAGCCAGGGTCAAAACTGATTACATCGCCTGTGGACATGGTTCCCGTATATACTAGGAATCATCACAATGATTACTACAGTGGCTGAGCAACCCTGTCATGGGGTCTTTTGACAATGGCACATTTGAAAACCCTGCATCTCTGCCCAGCGTATTCTCTGAAGAGCTCCAAGCCACCCATGCGTTTTCAATGGGAGCACCCGAACCAAAGGGGCAGGTGAGAACCAAACTCAACCACATGATTTCCTTTCACATCAATGTGCCTGGAAAATCCGCCGGATCTGCCGGCACGTCGTACATCATTCCACCAAATATGAGCTTGCAGGCATGGTGCTCTGTCAATCTCTGCGTCAATGCATTGAAGCAGCATCACTGTTGCTTACAAGCGTGCGGCATGCGGCCAAAATGTCCTCATGATTCCGGCATAAGGTTCTGACAAAAGGACAACAGGCAACTCCTTGTTGTAGAGGTGGAGTGCGTGCTCCTCAGGCGTTGATCGTGACTCTGACTGCAAGTGCTCCTTGGAACTCTGATCTTGGCTGCGCACATACTCCCATTTCCATTTGCCACGGTAAACAAAGGTTGTCCACAGTTCACTCTCTTCGACCTGCAAGGCTTCTTGGCAAAGGATGCTGTGGGTTGCTCGGCAAACCTACCGTGCCTGCCGCCGAAGCTGAAACTTGGTTAGCTGGTGGGTTCTGCGATTGAACCATCCTTCCTCGCAATGCAGCTTGAACACCTGCACGTTCAAAGTCTGCACGATTCTCTTCAGCATGCATGAGTAAAATGCATTCAAATGCTTCTTAATGCCAAAGCTTTTGCCAACTGACTAACACCGTTTTGAGAACCCAGAGTTGCCTGAGTGTTTGGCAATGATTGGAAGTCGCCAACTGAGTCTAGCCATTGACGTAGTCCAGTCCTGACAAAGCTGGCCATGCAGTGGAAATGCCGACGTGCTGATGAAGTGGAGGCACCATAAGCCGCTTAGAGGATGTCCAGAGAAAATGAGCAGAAGAGTCGTCCTTGGATCTTGTACTGCTTGGCAGCATTTCATGCTCGATTTCATACAACTCAGGCTAACGCTTGTTCTGAAGCCGAGGAAACAGTGTAAAGCCCCTTCCAACAGAGGCAATTACTGAAAGTGCACCCACAGAGTTGTCCGTCCCTGATATCTCTCCAAAAATGACCTGCCTCATTCTGATGCGCTGTGCAGCGTCAGAGGTTTGGAAAACTGGGTCAACATACCTTTCTCACCAGAAACTTGCTCGCTGCTGGATTGCAATTTGCGATGTATGATGCGCTCGTTCATAGCAAGTGTGAAAGCCAAATGAAAGCCCGAATGAGTGTCGCTCATGTCCAGTGGAAAGCGATGAGCCATCTCGCGCGGTACCAGGGCAGACCTGAGACGAAGCATCCAACCCTGACACATGCTCAGCATGTGACAAGACTTGTACATGTTCGCTGAGATTGAGCCACGAGCGGATAGTTGTAAGCTGCCGTCTGGCCTTTCCTGTACGGAGCAAGTGGAATCCTGCAGGGTGCATAACTGCACATGTGGCTGCCATGCTGGGTGCCACACAAATAATTGAGGCCTGCCACCGTAGTACTGCCGTGCGGCCTTGCGGAGCAAGCACGCAAGCACCAGCATCCAATTCTTGAGCTCTGCATGTTATGGCTATGACTCGGACGTCAGACCAGTGAGATGGACCCAGGCCAGATCTGGCTGCAAGCCGCTTGACTTGCGATATGACCTGACTCCCAAAGATGTGATTGATTCAGCTACAAGTTTGCTTAAGGTCACCGCATTGTCCACAAGCAGGGGAGCGGATGGCTTTGGTGAATCTTCCTAAGGCATGGTCCACTGCCAGTCAAACTGCCCTGAGTCCCTTTGGGGAGCCCCGCCAAGTTTGCTGGTGCCTTGAAGGACTCCCTCACCTGGACCCAGCTGTGCAGCGGTGGCATAGCGGGCCCCATAGCTCAGACAGCGACATGCAGCGGCACATTGCTCCAAAGTCGCGAGAGCATTGGCGCATGTCGCGCACCGCCCTGCCATGATTTCTGATTGGCATCGCCTGTTTGACATCTGTTGGCTTGTTTCATTGCCGCACTAGCCTCAGCATCCTCCTCCAAGGCCCCGCGGAACACAATGTCTGAAACCTGGCCGGCACTCTGCGTTAACCTGCGCCTCGAAGGTGGTGAACGAAGTCAGAATTGAGGGGTGCTTTGATGCATTGCGCTGACTTGCTCGAGCAAAGATCTATGATAAAAGTTGAGGTTCGTGACTCATACAGAACTGCAGAAAATGGTTCTGTTGCCTAGCATTCGCGTTGGCAATGCTTAAAGCGAACATGCGCCCACCACATATACTGTATATATATATATATATAAGTATACATCTTGGAAACCACCTCACGCATTTCGGTGCCGACTCACTCACTGAAGAAAAAAGCAACAACACTGCAAGGCAAACCAGAACACAGTACCTCAAAGCCAACCAAAATAATACAGGCCGAGGCGGGCAGCGCAAAGCGTGAACAATTGAGTGTTGGGAATCGCAGAATAAGCACTGCGATATTAGGATTAGTATTGGCAATCCTCAATTATGTACTGGCAAGCTGAAGTGCAGCTCAACCCCCCCACCCCACCCCGACTTTCCCGCTAGTGGTGAAGCTTCATGTAGTGCGTTTTTCTTGGACTGGATTGCATGTCAGTGTCACTGCATCTACTCCATCGGCCAACTTGTCAAGCGAGCCTTTGATTGTGCAACTTGATTCGCCTGAGCTGCAAGTTGTTTCACATTGCAATGTTGAAACAAACACCGAGTGCCTCGCTCCTCTTTCAGTCAAGTCTCCTGGAACCGTATCCGTCACGGTTGTTTGCCTTCCAAAAGAACCCGTGAATAGAATTTGGGTGGCCGGCATGTCACTTGTCCATGCCCTCCAAAATTGTGCAGTTGGGTCTTCCTCGATGCCAACCAACCTCTGTGCAACTGCTATCCTGTGTGAGCTGAAGGCGCTGAAGGCGCTGAAGGGGCAGAAGGGGCAGAAGGGGCAGAAGTGGACGAGGTTGCTGGTGTAGGGCTTGACGCTAGGCTTCTGACCAGCCAAGCCTTTGAACTCCCGCGAATCCCAATCCAGCCATGATTAGCCGTGACAGATATGACCCATGCTTGACCAAGTCTGCCTTGGCGTGGGACTGACAGAGAGCCAGCTGTGCGCGGACATGGCTCGTACGCAGCATAATCCCACTGATTGGTCATCTGGCAACAATTGAAAATGTGAAATGGTACACGAGAGGTACATGGACGGATGCTGATTCAAGAAACTGAGCGGCATGGCGAGCAGGATGGGTGCAACATGTTGCCCAGCATGCTTGGGCCAAAAAGGCAGTGCATCTGCCACAGCACTCTCAGCTTTGATGGCACAGCCACTACAATCCAAGGCCGCCTCAGCTGACGGGTCTGGCCATCGGTATTCGGAGCTCTATGCCATTGGCCAACTCACCCTCCACCTGTTCCGGTGTGCAAACTGCTGCTGAGACATGACAGTGAAGGTCAGCCGTGGCACGCCTCGTGAAGCTTCACGATGGTGCCTGGGTCACAGCCCCGAAGCTTCGATGGAAACACCGAAAAAATATGGCGGTCAAATGCGGTCAACGCAACGCCGAGAAGCTAATGCTTGATCTGCAATGCGGACAGTGAGAACCACCAAACGCGCGATTCTGGACAATGCGAGTCACACACTCCTGTGAAACGAAGCAGGCTGATGCGAGAACACTGGTGCTATGTGAGTTTTGCCCAGGCAGCAGTCCTCGCACACACTTCCATGTGCACAAGGTAGGAGGACCATGCAACCGGGCTCATCCAAGCAGACTACCTAGGATTTATGCTTGCTTTCTTGTGGTTGGTGCGCAGTATGAGGTTCGTCGCAAAACTTAGGCGCCAGCACACTGTGGGAAGACATCCCCGACGCTAGCAGTTTCTGCATCTACCTGGCATCTTGCGAGCTCCCTGTAAAAGCAATTGAAAAAGTGAGCCTTGCCGATCAGGGATGGTGCAGGCTTGTTTTCTTCCTGGCTGAAAAATCATTGGGAGGACACATAAGCTTGAAGCAAGCATGAATTTATCACAAAGGCTGGCCTCTTCCACCGCAACCTCAAAACAGCAAGCAAATAGACAGAGCAGGACGATCCAACCTTGCCAAGCAACACCCTCCTCTAGCTCTTCTTGGCTTATCTCCTGTGTTGCTGCAATTGGGTCGCAACAAATTGTGTTGTGTCTGCGCGTTTGTCTTGTACAGTTGTGTCCAAGCATTGACACGTGCCCTGAGCCTTTTGTGGGGTCAATCGCAGCCCTCGATCTATATACAATGAACCAGTTCTGCTTATTCTTTAAATGAATGCAGCCCTGGTTGAATCTGGTTGAGGTTCTCAGGAGTCTGTGCATTTTGCAGTCAGCTGGTTGCTTTAAGCAAAGACTGCCACACAAAGTATGTACAAACAAGCGGATTGCACAAACCATCAAGCAAATCATACTATGAGCTCACATGGCAAAGTGCAAAGCGCAAACCGTGATACATTCAGCTGCCAGGCTCTTCACCAGCATGTGGCACGTCAACTGCGTCATCTTCAGTGCCGACACTGGACTCCCCACCTGCGTGTTGCACATTGACAATGCTTCTGTTCTCATGGCGCTTATCCGGGCCTTCACTTGCATGGATTTCCGCATGTTCAACAACGTCAACACCGGTGGTTGCTTCACCTCATGCAAAACAGGACGGAACATGCAAGCGCAGCCTTTGCGGGTCCTGAATCTTGGGCTTCTTCCTGTTCTGCACTTGCAGCAGACTCACCTCTGTACCAAGCTATGCTTTTGACATGCTCCTGCCAGAGAATTGTACATGCCTTCTTGCAAGTCTTCCTCCTCACCAGCAGAGGACGACTCACCTGGTGTGCATGTCGTCCATGCCATGTTCACACAGTTGGCAACTTCAGGGCCCCTGCATTCTTCCTGCTCTGCACGTGCAGCTTCAGCCTTTTGCCTCACACACTTGCTTGGCATTGGAACACAACAATATCAATATGCAGGACCACTTGCACGGATCCAACCAGCCTTCGCAGCTCCATGCGATATCTTCTCCGCAAGCCATCTGCGCGTATCTGCAGCAAATATTTCTCATGTCCTTAGATTAGAAAGCATTCAAGTCAAAATATAAGGTTGGAGGCAGGCTCGTCTCACACTTTGCTCGGAACATCCCAGACTCACAGACTCAGGATGCAACGAAGGCATGGATGAACTTCGTCCATAGCATCAGGATTCTGCTGCACAGCAATGGATGCCTGCGCTCAGCCGTTGCACACCCTTCTGGGCCAACGCGCAACTGCGAGCTTGCACAACAGAGTGCTGTGGAGTCGCCAGCTCAAAGTCAGCTTGCAAATCTTCGTCCAAGTAGCTCCTTTGGCTCAAAGGCAGGCTTCATCAAGCTGCGCACTAAATTAGGCATACACATCATCAGACCATTCACAGAGACAGCCACGCGGGCCACTGCGGCATTGTCACATAACCTTGGCCGTAGATAGAATTCAGCAAGATCAACTGGCAATGAGAATGCCCCGACTTGCCACATCCGGACAAGCAGATCCGAGCAAGGGGCTGCTCAGCCCTTACGATCTCCGGATTGATTTCCGCCAGTTCAAGTAAAAAGTCCTGCTACAAAAGACAGCTCAGGCTCGGAGAAAAGGCCGGCTCTGCCTCTTCCACATTTGGATCTTTCTGCAAGATTTCCTGTATGGCCTTCCAGTCCTGCTCAATCAACGGCAAAGGCATTCCAATCACTGTAACTAGATGAAGTACAGTCCTGCTTGACTGCTCCAAGTAGAAGCTCCCTTGAAAGACCGCCTTCGACCTGCTCATGGGTCCAGGGCTCTGGCACTTTTCTGGGACTTACATGGCCTGCTCGAAAGGCAGCGCTTCCCAGGTCTGAGCCACAGCTTTCGTCACAACTCGCCTGTTGCCACCTTGCACATGATTGCAAGGGTGCATGGAATGTGATGAAATGTGTTGAAATGTGATGTAATGTGACGAAATGTGGCCGAGTTTTGAATTGATTGACTACACAGTTTGACAGCGCTCAACGGGAAACCCTGACTTTGAGACTGCACAGGAGATCGATTGAAGCAACTGCAGCATACTCCTCATATGAGCATTGCTTTTTTTGGAGGTTCAGGGCTTATACACTGCTGGGGAGGCTACGCGCGGGGCTTCGCGGGGCCAGAATTTGTGGAAGGGTTGGCTTCGCGAGGCTTCGCGGCAAGACTGTGGCTTCGCGGAGTGGCTTTGCCGGGCTTCGCGGATGTTTGTTCCACAAACATCTCTGACGTTTGCGGCCCCGTGTTGTTGAATCAAGTTGAGTCCATGCGAAAGGGGGCGATGAAAGGCGGCAAGAGAGGCATTGAGCTTCAGCACTAGGGGACACGGCTGGGCCTCAAAGGGGCGGAGCATGGAAGTTGGACCGCGGTGGCTTCGCGGTGGCTTCGCGGAGGCTTCGCGGGGGCTTCGCAGAGGCTTCGCGAAAACGTTCCATCGTTTCTAGCAAAACCGGGCCTGAAACGCACAGTGCTCTTCCGGTCGTCTTCCCGTAATCTTCCTGTAATCTTGTCGTAGCCTACTGCCATGAAAGCGCACAACACACTTGTCATGAAAGCACGCAATACACTCAAACCACGAAGTGGCTTCGCCTGTGTCAATGCAATGTTACCGGGCTACGCGAAGCGGCTTCGCGGGGCTTCGCGGTACACAATGTATCGCACAAGTGCCTTCGCGGAGCTGTTGGGAGTTCCCCACGTAGCTAAAATCCATCATCTGAGAAAAAAACGCTGCTCATATGTACTGGAGGTGTCTTTGGGGTAGCTAAAATGCATTCTCGTTTGGGAGACGGGTGAGCTTCATCCTCGATGCAGGGTCAAGCGCGTCGACCGTGCACGCAGGCATGCAAGAACATGGCTAAGCGTGTACTCACAAGCACTCGGCAGCCAAAAGCTGTGACACGCTGCATTTTTCAAACAAGGGGATAAAGGGATGAGGAAAGGGCTTGGGGGCAGTACAAACGAGAAATGGCGACTACCTGAGATGATCCTAGCAACCAATAGAATCAAACACACGAAGGGTTGGATGGATGGATGGATGGATGGATGGATGGAAGGAAGGAAGGAAGGAAGGAAGGGACGCATGGCCGTTGCATTCACCTTCTGAAATCCTTCGTTGCGAAATGTGAGATGGGGCATGAGATGATCCAATGAAAAAGGGGTTGGGTCAAAGAGCGAGAAGGGGATTGATCTGGATACAGCTTGCTGGCTTAACTCAGTGTTCGCATACACTTTAGTAAAGGGACACTCCAAATGCTCCACGTGCGCTTGTGTATGACCATATATATATATATAATATATGTGCACGTGTGTTCGGGCGAGCAAACAGTGCAATTTGTGCGCCGCTCTCAAGGCGACTTGGACCCAGTCGAACCAAGCAACATTCTACACATCAACATCCCCAGCATCGTTTTGAAAAACTTCCGGCATCTCCAGAAGGTCTGGCTTTGACTGAGCTTCGGGTCGGCTCAAGGAGTGTTCAGGGTGGCTTTGGGCGGGGCTTGGGTTTCTTTCGTGTGGGTTTGCGGTTGGCTTAGGGTTTGTATAGGGCAAGTCTGGGGTTGGGTGCCTATGGTTTTTTAGAGTAGGTTTGGTGCTGCTTTGGGGTGGGTTTTAGGGTAGGTTTAGGCTGGTTTAGCGATGCTTTTGTGCTGGTTTCATGGGAAAGAAACGCTTGGTGCACGGTTGGTTTCGGGTGGGTTTAGGTTGCATAGTTTTTTTGTTCTTCGGTGTGTGGTGGTTTAGGGTTTCTTTGACGGGGAGCTCAGGTTGGTTAGCTGTGGGTTTAGGGCTGGTTTAGAGTTGGTTCAGGCTGGTTTAGGGTTGGTTTAGAGTTGGTTCAGCGATGGTTGTGTTGGTTTGGGGTGTGTTGGGTTTGGTTTAGAGTTGGTAGGGTTTGCCGAGGGTCTGTTTCGGGTTGGTGGGGTTGGTTTGGGGTTGTGGGGTCGGTCTAGGGAGGGTTTAGAGTTGCGATAGGGTTTGCGTCGTTTGCGCAGGGTTGTTTACTATGTTTGGTGGGGTTTACGGTTGGTTTAGGGTGGTTGGGCCTGTTTAGGGTGGGTTTGGGATAGGCTTAAAGCTGGCTTGGAGATGCTCTTGGAAATTGGCATACAGGTTGCTTAGGTTTGTTTAGTGTTAGCCGCGTTCCGGCCTTCAGTTTCAGGGATGCTGTTGCGGTTTGCATTTCTGCGCGACCAATGTAAAGTTCTGTTGCTCCCTCTGGTTGTACTGGGCCCTGGGCAACTAAGTGTGAGTACGCAAATAAAGTACACTGCGTGCGTTCAACATTCCTTGTTTCTGTATCTTTTCTTGCCCATTGAAAATATAATGTATACATATATATATATATATTGCTCTGCAAACGAGTCCACTGTTCTGCCAACATGAGATGGCTCGACATGCGTTGGCCTTTGGGCGTACGTATCAAGTGTGAATGTGTGCACGCACGGTCGACTTTTAAGTGGTAAGCCGATTCGCAGCTTGACAAGCGCCTATGCTGCTAGGCACAGCAAAAGCCACACAATCAAATAAATCTATTGTTCCCGTGGACGTCCGGACCTCCAACGCTCACAGCATATCAAAACAAGCGGTTGGAAAGGAAAGCTAGCATATGTATGCATATGTTCCTTTGATCTATGCTTTGCAGCGACTCAGATCAGGGCGCATCGTGTCCGCAGCAAACTCGAGCACAGAACCATCACTTTTCGCAACCTCTTTCACCAGCTCCTCATCCTGAACAATTCAGGCTACTGAGCCCTCCCTTTGCAAACAACAGCGATCATTGATGTAAGGCACGGACGGACCTCAAGTCGTCAGAGGCAAAGCGAAGGGCTTTGGGGTTTTGCTGCACTGCAGCCTCCACAACCTCCCAATTTCATCACGGACGCCTCTCAACGAAATGCACTGCTCACGCGCCTTGCGACTGTCTTGAAACTTCTCTGGAGCAAACTGGAGGGCCTCGCCATTCTGCTGGATGGCCTGTCGGAGCAATGTCTTGTTGTAAGGCTGTGACCTGCACAAATGCTGAGATCCGCGCAGCCAACACTACGCTGGGGTCTGCCTTCAGGCTAGGCGCAACCTCAACTCACAGATTCTGGCAGGATTCATATTGGCACCCATATCCAAAATACACCACACCCTATAAATCCCAGCTACTTATCTCGTGTATTTTGGGTGTCCGGGCATCCCATGTATCCCATGTGTCCATCGTAACAGCACCCTTTACGAGCGCTGCACGATTTCACCCTCCTGCAACATGAATTGAACAAACGAAAGTCTTATCTAGAGTGATTGCTGCTGCTACTTGGCTGTAGCAAGGCCGGCGCGCAGGTCCCCCAGCAACTAGAATCCGCCGACCCCTCCTTGTCTGCAAGGGCGAGGCGCACGGGAACGCTGGGATGTCATTGTCATCATCATCGTCGGCGTTACACGCTTCGCTGTAATCACGATCATCATCATCATCGTAATCATCAAGATCCTCGTCGTTATCATTTCAGATGTGAGGTTAGGCAGCGCTGGGGATGCTGGGGATGCGTACTCACGATCATTACCATCATCATCACCACCCTCCTCCTCCTCATCATCATCTCGCTGTCATCATCGCGATTATCAGCATCATCGTCATGATGTTTCGCTCGTGATGCTGGGGATGATAAGCATCGACGTGTAATGATGATTATCGTCGTCATTGTCATCGGACCGTCATCGAGCTGGGGTTGCCTATATCATTGCTACCATCGCGATTATCATCATCATCGTCTTACTCGTCATCATCGTTATCATCGCCATCATCATCATCACTATCATTACGCTTTTGCGGTGAATGCTGGGGAGGCACAATAATGATGATTACCAGGTATACTCCAGCAGAGCAGGGCGGCGGAAGTTTCTAGCAAGGACATACGCCTATGGGCAGGAAAAAACCTCCCCCGCCTCATGCCCGCGCCGCGCCCACGCGCCTTTCCGGCCGAGTTGCCTGCCGCTCTGCGATTGGCGCACGCGCGCCGCAAGGTTGGAATGGCACTATGCACTGGCACATGCGCTAGCACTATGCACTACTACGCACTGGTTGGCACAAGCAGCACTGATCCACAAAGTGCTCCATGCGTGCTCGTTACAACGTCTCGCGCGCTTCGCCCCACCGCGTCTTCCTTCAAGAAAACGCAGCCGGTCTGCCGCTCCCAAACATCAGAGCCAGAGCCCTTGCCTAAGAAAAGAAGCTACAAGTACGCACGCACGATTTGCAGGCAAATCCCTGTGCAGCCGACAGAGCCGGCCGAGCAAACCAACTAAGCAAGAAGCGATCCTCATCAGTGTCATCATTGTGGTTATTATCGCCGTCGTCCTCATTACTCGCAACCATCATTGTCATCATTACGACCATCATCTTCATCATCATTATCCCCGTCGTCATTACGCTTCGCTCGTGGTGCTGGGGACGCGTGATGATGATGATGAGGAGGATGATGATCATCATCATCATTATCATCGCGACCGCCATCGTCGTCATCACCATCATCGTTCTCTTCTCGGGTTTGCGTGTCCGATGTACGTTAGCGCTGGGGATGCTGGGGTTGCCTTACCACCATCTCTGCTGGTGATGCTGGATGCTGGGGACTCGTGATATCATTGTCATCATCATGATCATCATCATCATCATCATCATCATCATCATCATCATCATCATCATCATCATCATCTCGTTACTCGTCAGTGTCACGAATTATCCCCATCGGAGTGGTGTTATTTTTTATTCCCTTCTAATTCGTTTGAAATTATTTAACTCGTCTGATCGTCAGCATCACCATCGTCTTCATTCAGCTTCGCTGGTGACGCTGCGGGTGCGTAATGATGATTATTCTCACCATTGTCATCATGACCTTCATGGTTCTTTTTTCTTCATGAGCAGGGTCAAAACCTGGGTTCCGCGACGCCACATTCCATGTCTGCCTTCGCGAACCCTTTCGCGGCCTTTCGCAAGACTCTTGCGCACTCCACAGTTTTCCATTCGCGGAGCACATTGGGCCAAGCAAACCTTTCGCGAAGCTTTCGCGGACAGCTCAGCAAGCAACCCAATGTTCACAATCGGCCTTTCGCGGCCCCTTTCGCGAACATGATTCCTCGTGTCCCTTTCGCGAAGCTTTCACGGCCCTGTAATGATTTAATGCCCTGCGCTTTCCTTTGCGCAGCAACTTGCAGCACAACACCTTATTCCAACTTCTTTTATCGTTGTGTTGAACGCTGCTCGTATTTGGGTTTCAGGTGTGACGTGCGGCAGTGCTGGGGGAGCTGGGGACGCGCCACACCGACGCAGCACACGCGCGATGAATCAGCCTGGTTGATGCGCCAATAGTCATACAGTCTCTCTTTTCTCATCCACATGTTTGAAGGCTATTCAAAATTACCGTCAGCATCGTAATTATCACCACCGTTGTCGTCGTTACTCGTCGGCCTCATTGTCATCGCGATCACATCATCATCATCATCATCATCATCATCATCATCATCATCATCATCATCATCATCAAGACCATCACCGTCGTCATTTCGCTTCGCTGGTGCTGCTGGGGGCGCGTCATGATGATTATCGCCACCGTCGTCGTTCCCTTTTCTTGTTTAGGCAGCGCTGGGGATGCATTATTGTAATTATTATTGTTATCATAATCGTGATCGCTCTCTTTTCTCACACGCGTGTCAGTTGCGACCTGAGGCAGCGCTGGGAATGCTGAGCATGCCTTGTCTCTCCCTTCTCTGCAATCACAATATAGGAAGCGCTGGGGATGTTGGGCATTCCTAGTCAGGAGCTTCGCTGATGGCGCGGGGACGCGCAATGATGATTGTCGCCATTATTGTCGAGTTCAGCCAGCGGTCGGGGTGCTGGGGATGCGTGGTCGTGAGTAACATCATCACTCCTGCCGATGCTGAGGCTGCGTAATCGACATGCGCGGCATCATCATTGCGACCATCATCAAGGCGACAGTCGGGATGCGTACTGGTTACCATCATCATTGTCATCGTGGCCGTCGTCAACAACAGGATCATAGTTGTTTTTGCTTCTGGAAAGATCAGACAGGACGTTGGGCAGCGCTGAGGACATGGTTTCCATATCCTAGTCATCATCCTTACCGTCATCGTCGTGAGCATCATCATCGAATCATAACCATAACCATAACCATAACCATAACCATAATAACCATCACAACCATCACAACCATCATAACCATCATAACCATCATAACCATCATAACCATCATAACCATCATAACCATCATCGTCATCGTCATCGTCATCGTCATCGTCATCGTCATCATCATCATCATCATCATCATCATCATCATCATCATCATCATCATCATCATCATCATCATCATCATCATCATCATCATCACTGTCGTCAATACGCTTCGCTAGTAACATTGGGAGTCATCATTGTCACACCGTCTTCAAAACTGACTATTCATAGCGGCGGGGATGAACTTCAGGCCTGCCAACCAACCCATAGCATCCTCATGAGTGAATCCGCTATGGGGTTATTTCTCTTCAGTGACACTTCTGTGGGGTCTGGTCTGGGTTACACTATGTCTCTCAATCCACGCTGAACATGTGCCAGGGAAGCTAAATTGAGACACACATCAACCAATCCTTGCCAACTTCTAAGAGACGCTGAGTTGACTGCAAAAAGTTTCAACTCAACTTTCAGCCCCTCAAAACGTGAAGAATCCATGCCAACCCCCAGGCAGTTGCCTTTAACCTCTGGGCTCTTTGAGGTCATCCCCAGGATGACCCGACCTGGACCCTGAAAAATCCAACCTTCGAAATCCCCGAACGGGCCCAGCGCCACAGCCGACCTTTCTTAAGCCAAAGGCCACTATCCCTTTCAAATACCAACTTGTGGCGTATTTGAATCTCTTGCATCCCAGAAAGAAACGGGCATCCCCGAATCCCCTTGTCACATTAGTTCAGGCTTCAACAGGTGTTGCATATCGGCTCACGCTATCCTCAAGGTGACTCATGCCAAGCCAGAGGGGTTCGTTCTCCACACACGCAAACACACAGGGGCACTCACGCTAAACTCACGCAACCCCACATGGTTCACCCCAGCCATTGAAACACGGAGTCACTACGTTGCTATATTCAGCGCAGTTGGACAAGTATCTCGGCAAACTCCATTCAAGTTTGTGTTGCCTTGTGAAGTGCACGCTGTTGTGCAGCACAGCACAGTGCACGGCTCATGATGCAAAGAACAAAAGCACACATTTCAGGATCTTGAGGTTCTAAAGAGCTCCCCGCATTGCTCTTAATTGCTTCCCTATCTCCAGCGATGATTGTTTTACACGAACTCTGAGGTTGCCTCCTATCTGTCATGCTTTAAAGGATGTTTCATCGGTTTCATCATGATTTGAACCTCGATGCGTGCCACTCAACAAGCATATATGGCAAACGCCAAAATGAGGGTGGCTCCCGCCAAATACTCCGGCAGCCTCTACAAGATTAAGATTACTACAAGCCCCGCCAAATACTCCGGCAGCCTCTACAAGATTAAGATTACTACAAGCCCCGCCAAACGCAAGATGGAAGATATGAAGGATTAGTTGCTGTGGATTGCGAATAGTGTCACTGCAGCCCTCTCCCCGGGCGAATTTATGAGGTGCAGCAAGACAACAGGAAGGCTACAGCAAGACCCAGAATTCTACGAACACTACGGGTACAGAAGCGGGGAGCAGGGTGGCACCATTTTAAAGAAATGATTGGAGCTGGCGATGTCTATCGAACATCACGTTTGATGATGTTCTGCATCTCTTGCTGGCCTTCACACTTTTCTCAAGGATGCCTCGCGCAGTTGAAGAGTCAGGCTCCGGGAAAACAAGATGAACCGCGGATCCTTGTTCCAAATGGAGCATCCAGCAAATGCTCACGTGAACTCACTTTCAGATCTTTTTGCTGGGGGGACTACAAGAAGAGCACGGGAAGGCTACAGGAAGACTACGGAAAGACTACGGGAAGGCGGGAGGAAGACTACGTACAGAAAGACTAGTGTCGGCAAGACTGACATCATTACTATTAAATTTATTAAATGATGAAATGGGGGATGGCATCATTGCTCTGAAGAACAATGGACCTCGCCTTGGGTTATCCTTGAGCGGGGGAGGGGCATCCTGCTTCTCTTTGTCGATTCTGTACCAATGAATTAGTCAGTCGAGGCCCAAGACCTTCAAACCCCACAGCCTAGACATGGTCACACTTCCTGCCCCTTTGAATTCCCCAATTCCGTTTCCTTTGCTCACGCGCAGTCTGTGCCAGGTGTCTATCTCTATCCGTCTCTGTCTCTTTCTGGTTGTCTTTCTCTGTCCCTCTGTGTCTCTATCTGTCTGTCTCTGTCTGTCTCTGCGTGTCTCTCTGTCTGTCTCTATGTATCCGTCTAGCACTATCTCTCATGCCCACTGTTTGCCTTTAATGTTCATTTTTGGCAGCAGCTCAGTTTATTCCAGTAACTACCCTGGACGTTCTAGCCAAAAGGTGCATTACAAAGTGTTCAAGTGGTTCAAGATACACGCCTCCAAAGTTCAGCATGCATCAAGATTGTCCGTGGCACATGAGAAAGCCACAGAGATCTTTGCTCTGCATGTCAGGAGCACTACGGAACAAAGTAGATAACTTGGTGGGCTGTCTGCACTCTGTTGGACGGAAAAACCACCAACGATGATGGACCGAGCGAAAGCTTATAAAGATAGGACAAGGTAGTCCATGTCACCAAGAGGGACCTACTGATTCCATAGGGTAAACATGATGATATGGAATGTGACAAAACGGAACTATCGGCGTCTCATCTGCACAAAGCACGCTTGTAAGCCTAAGCACCAGGCGTATTGCAAGCTGAGTCCATCTTGCCTGGAATACTCGAGGCGCTGTCCGCCTGGCCCCTAGATTTATGATCCAAGGAATCCAAGGCGCAGACTGCACAATTTGCATGACGAATTCTCGATTTGCTGCCAGCTCTGCTGAATACGCCAAAGCCGTGGACCTGAGCGCTCAAGGAATACGGGGTGAATGGCGATCAAATGCATCAGTCGGGAGTGCGGTCGGAACTGTCTAATAGGTCGGAACTGTCTAAACTGAGAGTGCAGCGAACCCTTTGGCGCTCTCAATGCCTTTGAAAAAGGCACTGAAAGAATGAGTCAGATTGAGCCAAAGTTCCACTCCCGAACTCGCCTGGAGCACCAAGGCCGGATCGTTGCGAAGACTGTCAGCTGCATATTGCAACGCATCACCTCCGCTTTGTCGAACTGCCTCCTGTCACAGACACGCACACGCATGTCACTGTATCGAAAAGCAAAGTCCTCCACAAGACCTCGATGGCTGCGCAGCTCCTCACCGCTGTACCCAACTGACAGGAAATGCATATAAACAAATTATACAATCTTCAAATATGCATCTCTCCTCAGATGCGTAGCGCAGAGCAGCTCCGTCGCACCCTCGCCAGAAATGCTGCGTGTTGCGTTCTTGCCTACGTAGCATTGAGCTGGTCTTGGGCCCAAGCGCGCAGCTTCCTTAACAACAATCAAGTCCTTCCGCAGCTTCGTAGATAAATACCTGGTTACGATCCGTGTACGATCCGTGTGCTCAGACCTTGAACCCTTCAGCTGCCCTACTGGGGGCCGCGCTCAAACGCATGAACGTTTTGCTGCAGAGCCGCCTGTCAAATGCTGCATGCTTGTTCTGGCAGGTGAGCGGTCCAGGGACAGAAAGACGAGCCAGAAACTCAATCGCCACTTCATCATCCCCTCGAGCACTCTCGCCCACGAACTCAAGAGCCTGGTTTTTCCAATATTCACGCGTTCTCTTTGCAGTCTACTGTTTCAATTCACTTGCGTGCCTAAGCGCGATACCCACCAACAGCTCTTGACAACCGGAAGTACAACGACTGGATCATCACGAATCCCGTCGGATGCATACTCCAAGGCCTGTCGCATTGATACGCCAGAGTAACTCTGGTCCCATGACTGAATCATGACTGAATCATGACTGTCATTGACAATCCACTGGCACAACTGCGGAAAAGTGTTGCCACGATGCTGCACGTGTGAGCCCCTGCCTTCCACGTCTGGTTCACAGCAATTTCGACGCAGCGAACATCAGCTTTGACCTCAAACCACGCAAAGCACGCAGCAGGACACTTGGTCCAACAGGTTCTCACAGCATCACTGAAAGTGCCGCACATTTGATGGAGCATCCGTCAGATTCTTCCAGTCATAGCGGAGAGCTGCCTTCAAAAGGCAACTCAAATCATTGGCCAAGGCAGCTCCCCAGAGAAAAAGGTAAAGCCGACCAAGAAGGCTGAGCCTCCCAGTGCTCTCGCTCAGGAAGATTGTCTTGCCTTTGCTCTCCATGATCTTTACATATCAATACAGTACGCATAGAAACGGGCACTGCTGCTAAGCGTCTCTGGCTGTTTTGGCTTTTTTCTCGACCTTCCTGCGCCAATGCGCACCTTGGCCTGGAGCGCAGCCAATTTGTGCGTGTGTGTGTGTGCATCCTTCCAAAGCTGGGTCCCAAACCTCTGCTTCCTGGCTACGTTCCAAGGAGAACAGGTGGGTGTGGACAACATGTTCCCTCATGTTGCAAGCGCAACTGCAACAGCTGGTCCTGCCATTTCTTTTTCGCGTTGAAGAGCGCCATTTGGCATATCTCAGTGCTGCAAGCACTGACATAGAGTCAGGGCTCGGTGAAGCTGCTTGTCAATCCCTGTGTTTGGAGTGTTTGCAACGTAAACGTTAAAATTCTAGTTCGCCAGACAAAGGAGTCCTTGGCAGATGCGATGTACTCATGCAGCCTCGCTGGATAGCACATGCTGATTCTGATACTGACAAAGCTGCAGCTTTGTTAGTGTTTCGGCATGGCGAGGTAACAGCAAACCTCAACCTGTGCTCTTGAAACATTCTACAAATAGAAGCAATCCTGCCAATAGTTGTCTCCGCCCTTCTTGAACTTGAACTTCTTGATCGGACCGTCTGGAACAATCAGCTCCTGCAGGTAACTCTGACGCTATCCAACTGCACTAATGACATGTCCACGAAAGCTGAATACTGCTGGAGTCCCAGCCTCTGTTCGGCCAACATCCAAAGGCATTCGATTTGCGCAATGGCACCCACAACAAATGAAAATGCGCCCATGCGCACTGACGTACCTGGGCTTTGCGAACTCACCCAAGCATGCAAACCCAAGCCTCTGCATCTGTGTCTCTGCGAGTTCGTGCAATGCTCGTGCATGTACAACACAAGTGCGTACAAATGAGAGATGATAAGACAATAAGTATACATGATCAGGGATGGGTTTGCAAGTTCGCAGTTGTTCAGTGGTTCAGGATGGTTCAGGGTTGGTTGGCTTTGGGGCAAAGGTGGGGTCGGGTATAAGGGGTGCATAGGCCGAATTATTCCAGGACCAAGGGGTCGGATGCACGCTGAGGGGGACGTGAGTCCGGCATGCTCCCGAAGGCTGACTTCCCTTGGCTCCCTTTCTCCCGTGGAGTTCAACCATAGAAATGGCAAGTGGGGCACCTGGACGTTGCATCCAAGCAAACCCAAAACGCTCCCCTATGTACCCATGTGAAGCCGTCCCCTTGCCGAAACGCAGGCGTTCCACCTGAAGAACCTACACAATTCAAAGGGTTGCACCATTTGGGTGTGTCCTACGGGGACCCAGCAAATAATCTGAATTGTAGGAAGCACCCATTTCACGATCAGTTGAATGTCACCCTCCAATCAGTCCTTGGACCCCCCAAATGGAAGGCATTGTTGTTTTGGGCATTGTGCACAGCCACCAACCTGAATTCATAGACTGGGCATCTGGCTGCGCCGTGCGGCAATTGCCACATTCTGCAATGCGCATACCCTGGCGATCGACTCAATCGATTCGCAAAATCCCTCAGAGCAACAACAAAATCCCACCCGTGCCTCAGGGGCATGTCTCACGACAGTGAGGTGCTGTGTCTGCCGGGCACTTGGCTACACGCAACACACCACCTCCTCACTGCATCGAACCAATCCTACTGCCTGCTTCAGAATTCTGTAGGATCGAAAAAGCCCGGCGACGAGCACCAACGCCAGCATCACAGCGAGCGCCCAGTGGAGCTGAGAGCGCGAAGTGAACAAAAGCAACTAGCTGAGACTCTGAGACTCTGAGACTGTGGCTGTTCCAGGTTGAGCGTCCTGTACAGTGTCACTACATCTGTGTCCTCTCGGGTTGTGATGCCAGCCTCGACTATCGTCTGACCTCGCTTACACTGCTCCATCAAGCATTCTGATCGTTCAAGTGGCCACCAGAACCAGCATGGCAAGCAAGCGCCAAGGAAGATAATGAATGCAACATCCATCGGATGGACTTTTCTCCATATTACTTGCCTTGCTCAATGCCATTGGTTTAATCTCGATTTGGACTCGTTTAGACCCGTTCAGTATGCTCGTTAGCCAATTTCGGGGGACCATCATTTTGCAGAGGATTACGAAAATACTTGCAGGACATAGGTGTGTCGCTATACCTGCAACACTCCTGCGTGTCAAGCAAGCTACTTTATTCTCTCATCCGAGGAGGAAGATAAAGAACTGAGACGTTCAAATGGGCCATGGTTGTAATTGGCGAAGGCACCGGACTCGTTACAAACTCGTTGTGCACTCGCTTTGAGCTGTTGCTTTTCCTGAGATTCCCCCCCCCCGCAACAATGCCTGAGACCTTGCTGGGGCACGACTTTCAAGAGCACGTCGGTGGTTGTTGCGATTTTAGTATGTCCATTGCGAATTCTCCTGTCTCACGGCTATCTGGGTCACTGTGACAAGATCAGCTCCGTCACTATGATCCAATCTCGCTTCATCTCATTTTGCATGTTCTACAAAAGTATCTCGTGTTGATCTCGCTAAGTATGGGGGGGCATCTCGTTTCACAGCAACATCTCCACGTTTATGATATTCCGACCGTATCAATCGTTGGTTAATCGGTCTCTCACCCATATCAAAAATAAATATCCGGAATACGTGCAGCATGAAACCATCAAATGCAGATCTCCTTCAAGGCTCATTGCACAAGTGCTTTTGACTTGCAATCAGTCTTAGTCTTAGCTTACTTTGCACTGTCATACTGACGCATGTCAGTCAAAGCATTGGAAACACTTCCGCATATGATTGCTGCACTTTCATGTTAACGTTCACTTCGATGAAACCAGCAAGTCAAAAGAGTCCAGCTAAAAGAAGTACAGCACTTTTGCCTTTGTGCGTCGCCAAATCAGAAAGCTGCATGCCCCCCAGTTCATAGGCTCTGGCCACCAAGCTGTCCCAAGGCCGGCTGGATCCATACCTGCTGCAAGCTGTCCCAATTCCATCTCATCACTGACACTGAGCCAGCACCTCTAAAAGCACGACCAAGAGGGTCGTGTGAAAAACATGGCCTGGCCCACCAATGCCTTCAATCTTGGTGTCAATCCAACTTCTGTTTGCCCAATGCTGCACCTTTCATAGACCCCACTCGGCCAACCTGGCATGCATTGGCATGCACTGACATGCAAGTTTCCATGAAAGGATCCGGACTGTTTTGTGGCGCGAGTTGGATGAAGTGTCAAGCTGCCCCTTGCTGGTAATGTTGCAGTTGTGTGCTCTTGGCTGAACTTTCCACATGGGAACAAGCGTGAGAGTCACCAGAGCAAAGACCTGGGAACTGATGCAGGCACTAGTGATTGCAAAAGTGCGTTGCAGGAAAATCAAGCTCGAGCCAAACCCGCTGAACATTCACAGCATAAGAACCAAATGCCCGTTGGTGATACAAGCCACTCAAGATCACGAGCCCAAGCAAAGACGGACTGCTGCGATCATACAATGCTGTGCAAGATGTTTAATTTCTGCCGCCAGATGGCGCCGGTTGGAATCTGCTCTCGGTGGTGGTAGGCAAGGATGCCCTTGTTTGTGAACTGCGAACCCTTTCCAGCAGTCCATCTTGACCTTGAAACACGTTCACAGGTGGCTGTCAAGTCGAAGATCTCGTTGAGAGATCCTGAGATCGTCTTGTAGTTGTAGTTGTCACGCATAGTTGAGTCACAATCCTGACATCGTGGATGACGGAGTCCAGATACGTGGTCTGCATGCATGGCCATCTTTGCTGAGCCTCACGGAAATAGGTATCAAAACAATCTGCCATGTCAGGTTGCCAAAGGTCACAAGCAAGACTCTCGCAGTGCAAGCAAGGGAAAGGGCAGTGCCTGACACTGAGGCAGTGCTAGGATGCTGCCACATCAATCAGCCTCACACTCACAAAGTGATACGCGGCTCTAGGACTCTAGCTTGGCATGCTGCGATGAAGCCCTCCTAGACTTTTGATGTGGATGGAATCGCTGAACAACGTGCATGAGAATCAAGACGGTGCATTCAGAGCTCAAGCCAAGACACTGTGCGCAGTGAGGAAGGGAGTCTTCTAGCAAAGAGTCTCAGCACAGTATTGCATCTTCGATGGACATACTGCGACATGATCATTACGCTTGCGTACACCAGCTAGGACTGCAGCCAACTTGTAGGTGCCAAGCTTTCACGACAGCCTTCACAAAGCGGCAAATCGCGTAGAAGAGATCGCGCCGTACTTGAACTTAACTCAGAAGACCGAAGCAATTGAAAATGATGTTGAAGGCAATTTGGCTTTTGCTCGCCAGTCTTGCTTTGTCCCCAAACTTCCACCTCATCTGATTTCTCTGCTTGAAGATGGCAAATTATGTAGCATTCAATAAATTGGCACATCGCAGCACAATCACTGACCCGAGGAAAACATCACTTACACGCCATGCGTTTCAAGCACGTCCGACTCCCTGGGTCCATAAGCAGTCAAAAAGCAGGAGGCAAAGCGCAAGTTCTGCATCTTTCCAGGCCGCTGCAATTTAAGTCGTCCACATGCTCACCTGTGGTTTACAGCAACCCACGCAGGCTGTTTGTTTGGCCTGAGATTTATGCTGATCAATTCGCAACTCAACGGATGTCTGCAACGTAGATGCTTAGGCCGCACAACAAAACTACACGTCAGCCTGAGCCATTCAATGAATATGACATTGGCAGGCAACTTCCCTGAAGATCCCTGGAGTTAAAGTACTTTGAAAGGGATCGCAACACATCCCAGCGATGCAACATGCGAAACACCAAGATACACCCAGGCGTGCAAACATCTGCACAAATCGCGGCAAGGAATTCGATTGGCATGTGAACCGAGCCGCCGTTGCAGGACAACTGATGAGTTGAATGCGTAACTCTGGTGAGTCAGAGAAAAAAGAAGAGACGGAGGCAAACATCACCGGGCATGCAATCCCTATTTCCCAACACTGCAGGGATCTACTCTCTTCGAAGGATTCGGCATTGTTACATAATGCATTGCAGACATAACCCTAACCTGCAAACACCCCGCCTTTGCTTCCGATGCATGGTCTTGGGGATTGTAGCGAAGAAGTTCTGAATATTGGCTCAGCCTGACTGACTGTTGCTTGGATGAGCTCATGGACAGAAATGCTCGGTCTTTCCTGAGGATTGCTACCGCAAACAATTGAGTGTTGAGAGTGGATCGATTGTGGGTGTCGCTACCACACCAGGCTCAAAGGGGCAAGAAGCAAGCGGAAGACGTAGCAGCGCTGCTCCTGGCACCATGCACCACCAGCAATGAAGCAATACAGATCATAATATGCTGGTCGCAGCAAGGGCAGTGTTGCAGGTCGCACTTCTGAGCCTCGTCAGACAAAGGCCGGACCTGCTGGCTGTGCAGCCACAACATAAAGCACTTTGAGATATGAGCCAGGCCTTGCTTGCCTCGGTGGTGTTGATACATGGGTTCCATCGCTGACACAGCCCTTCAGGCAGTGGTATATCCCAGTATCCAGCATCACCTCAAAGCAAGAGTGCCTGTTGAGTCTCAAGGAAGTTGCACGCGCCCTTGGAATCGGTCCCCAACTGTTCATGGCCATCAACACTCAATACCCCCTGAGTACCGTTTACGTAGGGTATGACGGGCATGGAAGCAAAAAGGATCAAGCGCGCATCGATTCAACATGTTCCAGAGTTGCATGTAAGGTGCCAGCCATTGCAGAAGCTGAAAAGCGGAGGTGGCACATCCTGCTGTGGCGCTGCTCATTTGGGATTGGCTAGACATTCGACAAGAATGCATTCAATACATCCACATGAAACACATTGCCTACGTGCCTGCATATTGATATGTGTGCATACCTATACAAGTACATACGCGCTTGCGTACATGTTCTTCAGTCTGAGCGCGCGTGCAGGCAGAAGGAAAGGGCTCGTCTGAAGAGGCGAGACGCTACGCAAAGTGCTGTGCAACAAACGACGCGCCTCGAGACTTCAAATCAAATGGCAGGCAAATGACAAGCAAGGTTTGCCCAGGAACAAAGAAACACAAACGGACATGTTTTGATGTGATGCCTCTGCTGAAGTACTTGAAGTGAAAGTCGTCAGGGCGGGTCCACGCGTTCGCCCACTTCACAAACCCAAAGGGTCCGCGAGCTCAAAAAGAAACAAAAAGAACGCTAGAAAAGCGGAGCAGGAGCGCCGCGAACCCCCATCAAGCACTGCCGCAGCGCTGGCATCAGCCCCGTCAGCCCGTCTTCGCGCGCCCCCTCCAAAACACTTGTCTGTACTGTATCTCGGTGTTGGCTCTGCATCCCAGCCGCTAAAGTTGTTCGTGAAATGCAGAGCCAACCTCGGCATACGTTCTTCGTCAGAATTGATTAAGTGCAGCATACCAACCTCCACAAGCAAAACAATCAAGGTCACTGCATTACAACTTAGTTGATAAAATGCAAAGTACCACTTGGAGAGGTATCAATATTCAGAATCCGTTATCCCGTATACCAAGCAGTCAAACCGTAGCCATTGGCTCAAGCCATTTTGTCTCCAGTTGGCTCGGTTTCTGTTGGCCGGCTGTCCCCCGTTTGGTTTTGGCTTCTTCTCCTGGTTTCGCTGGCTTTTGGGCTGCCCTCGACCGAATTCTGGCCTTTGTTTTGGCTGCAAAATGTACCCTGGCAAAAATGCGCCAAGTGAAATACCTCTGCGTGATCAACCTCCTAATCAAGAAAAAAGTAAAAAGCCCTTTCCAAAATGCACGCGCCACGAAAAAATCAAAGAGCACAAACTAGATTCAACATGCACCCCGTTTGTGGTCGACCTTGTGCATTCTAGAAAATCTGTCTAGACGGGGGTCTCCAAAGCGAGTGCATTCAAATCGCCCAAACTGCCAACACTACGCTAACCGCACACTGGCTATGGTATCTTTGCCTGCACCGCAACTATAATTGTTGCTTGTTGCGATGTTCCTTCGAATCGCCCTGTCTTAGCAGCTAGATTCGCATTCGTTCTCTCATTGTGCCCTCGAGGGGCAACTGCTTGGCCCACGTTTGTTGGCCTCCAAATCTTGCTGTGCTTTTCCCGTGGAAGATCGCTTAGAGGCTTTGGAAAAAATGATGAAGAAGAGGCAAGCGGCATTGAAGCAGCTGCGACCACTACCACTACCACGCTGAAAGCTGTAAGCTCCGCAGAAAGGTCTGTGACGCTGCTTTGCTCGACCGGCCGAGTCGGGCTTGCAAGGCGTGGGGACGCCGGCAAATTGGGCTCATCCTTGTCTACTCGACGGCGCTGCCCCGCTCGGCCATTGTGGCTGGCACTTGGCACAAGTCCTGCGTGGCCCAGAGCTTGCCTCCAATCCAGCCCCAGGTCGACATGCCGCTCAGTCCGCCGCCAGACTGCTGGGGGCGGGGGAGCGCAGAACTGGTCGAACCGGGCGCCCAGAAGGCAGGCCCAGCAGCAAACCATGCAGGGGAAGGCCGGCGGAGGATGAGCCCCTGTTGAGCCGCCATACATTTTCTACATTACTTACATTCCGTTGCATTGCGGACATACGTGCTGTTGCTTGTGAACGACATATCTTGGATCTGGCAAAATGGCCTTGCCATTGCTTGGCTTGAGCCCCACGTACTGCACAGCAATTTGATGACGTTCCACTAAACATAGTCTTCGGGGAGCCGGTGTCGCAAAACAGGGGTCCCAGGCTCGATTCCCCCTGCCGGCTCTTTTTGGCTTGGGCTTCCTGCCTCCTTTTGCCGGAAATAGGAAGTCGACATGACAGGAAAGCAACGGGAAATGAAATGGAAACAAAGGGGAACTGAAAGGGACATGAAAGGGACAGAAATGAAAACAAGGGCAGTGCAGGGGGAATGAAAGGGAAACAAAGCACAAGGAAACCAATCGGCACGACGGGAGATGCAGGGAAATGACTCGCAACGCAAGAACGGGACATACATGGAGAATGAAGCGGACATACCGAGAAAATGTCAGGGACATGAAGGGGGAGTTGAAAGGAATGGAAGGGACACGACCGGGACATAATGTGAAACGTGAAAAGGACATGAAGGGGAAATTAAGGGGAAAGCCAGTTGTAAGATGACAGTTCAGGGTCATGAAGGGGCAGTGCCCGGACATCGAGGCAACTCAGGGGGGAAGTGACGCTGCAATGCAGAGAGAGACAGAGAGAGAGTCAGGGAGGGAGCGGGAGAGAGAGAGAGAGAGAGAGAGAGAGAGGGGGGGAGAGAGAGAGAGACAGAGAGAGAGAGAGAGAGGGAGGGAGAGAGAGAGAGAGAAAGAGAGAGAGAGAGGGAGGGAGAGAGAGAGAGAGAGAGAGACAGAGAGAGCGAGAAAGAGGGAAAGCGAGAGAGACAGAGACAGAGCAAGAGTCAGAGAAAGAGACAGAGAAACAGACAGAGAAGGAGACAGACAGAGAGAGAGAGGGAGAGAGACAGAGAGAGCGAGAGAGACAGAGAGACACAGAGAGAGAGAGACAGGGAGAGAGAAAGAGAGAGACAGAGAGAAAGAGCGAGAAAGAGAGAGAGAGAGAGAAAGGGAGAGAGAGAGGGAGAGAGAGAGAGAGAGTGAGAGAGAGACTAGGTCCTCCAGTAAAGAGGTTAGAATTAGGGTACCCTTTTTTCTGTAGAGGGGCGTGGACAGGAAGGAGACAGGGAGACAGAAAGAGACAGAGAACCAAAGAGAGAGAGAGAGAGAGAGAAGAAAAAAAGAGAGAAAGAGAGAGAGACAGAGAGAGAGGGCGAGAGAGAGAGAGAGAGAGACAGAGAGACAGAGAGAGAGAGAGGGATGGAGAGAGAGAGACAGAGATTGAGGAGAGAGGCTTGGGGGGATGGGGAGGATGGGGAGCAGAGGGAGAGGAAGAAGGAGAAAAGGGAGACGACAATGTCGGCGGACTGCCGGAGGCTCTAAAGTAAGCGTGATGTTACATGCTGTGCTAGTATTCAATTCGAAGCTCCCTCATTCACTCCAAAAGGGAGGATCATCCAGTATGTATTGCACAGTTACGTCTAAGGATTGATTCGAAAGAAATGAGGACATTTCGACATGAGTCCCAGCTTGTTTGATTGTTTGACACACACACACACAGACGTGCACATGCGTATACATTGCAAAATGGTCACCGTGTGGTCCTTTGCATGTTTGTTTCACAAAACGTATACTTGGTTTGCATACACACGTTCATACATGCATACTGCATATACAAATGGACATATATAACTAATCACATACATAACAATGTCAGGCTGCTACAACTCGAGGGCTTGCACTTGTAGGGTATCAGTCTTGCTGGCTCAAATCCTGACACACTTGTGCGCACTTGTGGAAGGGTGTCACGCGCAAACATGTTGGGAGCCGCCAGTCAGCCCAATTCCAAGGCATGCCAGACTGGCCGTCCAGGTACCAGCTCGTGGCAAACGCGGTGCTCCTCCAAGAGCCACCACGAATTCCAGTCTGCAAGAGGCCGGCTTGGTGTCATGATAAGCTTGATGATCTGATGACAAACACAATTGCTTCACGCTTCATATGCTTCCAAGCCTTGGAACGCCTGCAAGCACAGCTGCAAGTGGGACAAAGATGTTGGCGAGGCAATCCACGAGCTCTGCGACCAGGACCTGGATACCGACGCATGGCGATCGCATGGCGGAGGCGGACGTAAATTCATCGTGAAGTCTCGTGAAGTCTACGCATGGTCCGCCTTGTCTGGGTTGGGCGCAAGAAGCTGCAATTCGCTCTGTGGATGCTCGACCAGCCGGAAGTGCAACGCGTTCAAAACAGAATCGTCCTGCAACCCAGTCTGGGCTCCCGGAGTTCAAACCAGGGATTTCTCAAGGTCTTGGCAACTCACTGAAACTTCTGTGTTTTGATACTTGCGCAGTAGCCAAAAGCAGCTACCGCCCATGCGAAATTTACATGCCACGTTAGCTGGAATGGAGCGTGTACTGGTTGTTTGGCGAGTGTTGGGGCTGAGTACAGGTGTGGTAGTGGGTATGGGGATATGAAAAAATGACAAGTTGCGGGGGTGCCGGGTAGAGAGGAAACATCACCTCCAAAGCATGGTACCCTCGGCATCTTTCAAGCGCTGCAAGGGCAGCCGCAGCCTGTTGCAAATGTTCAACGAAACTCACGAAACACAAAACTTGGCGCAACCTGGCGACATCAGCTAGTGTAGGTTTGAGGATGCAGTGGTTCCTCGGCCCCTAAAACAAAGCAAATCCAGTTCATACACCTGACAGATAGATGCCAATCTCAAATGCAGTCATAAACCAATCCTCCGTTGCGCGCAATGCCCGCGCAGTGTCTTCTCGAGACACACCAGTGTGTTTCCATGGTGATAGGGCTGTGCCGAGCGCTGAGAATCTGTTGCAGCGCCCTAGCCTAGGGAAAATGAAGAACGCAACGGTGAAGGTTGATAGTGCTTCAAACTCGCAAACATTTCACACGCACTTGGGACAGGGCGGTGTGCGTGCACCAAGCTTGCATCCCTGGCTGTCCTGGGCTTTCTTGCTTGTCATGACATACATTCACAACTTGAGGGGCCTTGCCTCCATGTCGTGCAACGTCACTGCCATCATGTGCCGAGTGTAGTCAATCGCCCCTTTTTCTTCCTCTAGCTGCTGTCTCAAATCCTTGGCTCATCTGCGACCCACCAAGCAGCTCGTTCATTCAAAGTGGCACAACCAACCGGTGCTCTCTCTCGCTCTCTCTCTCTCTCTCTGTATCTCTCTCTCTCTCTCTCTCTCGCTGTCCCTGCTGACAATAGCTGGGCCTCCCACAATATACATGGCCCCAGAATCGATGAGAAACGCCTCAACGCAGTCAGCTAAAAGCTGCCGACAACACTCAGAAACATATTCTTCAAAGCAGGGGCAGGTAGGAACAGGCTCCTGCTGACAATTTTGACAATCAAATTGACACTAAAGAGGGTCTCATTTCCAGCGGCACGCAAATGGATCTTTTGAGGCGAAGGGCCTCGGTCGTGGCCAGCCATTGAAACTGACGCTGGCGCTGTTCACAAACCAAACAAGGCCAGCAATTACTCGAACTGGCTTGCAACCGAGCCTGAAGCTTTGTACTGCCAACGTCACATTCCGCAACTGTGCTAGCCGCCGGCCACAAACTTTGACCAGGCCTAAATGTGCCAGGCATATCTACTCAATTTCCAACTAACACTAAATAGTAAGTGTTCAGGGAAGACTCCAATCATGTGTTGTTCTAAATCAGATTTACAAAATATGATATTATATTTTAACATAAATGCTACACATGAGTGCCTTTCTAATAGAATTGTCCTTACAAATCAGTAAGCATCGAAACAACATGCATTAAACATTCTCGGGACGTCTGGCTTCTTTCTGTATGAATTATACGTGATACATTTATTAAGTTCTACCGAATGTCTATCTCACATTAACATAGAACTTAATATCCAAACATAATTTTGAGTTCAAGTATAATTTGAATACTGAGTATTCTAGTTCACAATAAATGCTACACAGGATCTCCTTTCCAATCAAATTGTCTTTGCAAATCCTTGCCATTTAAACAACATGCGTCTAACAATTCTGGGACCTCTATTTTCTTTCTTATGAACTCTACTTAATATTTATCAAGTTCTACTGGTATGGTTTTAACTAAGACTAAGAATAATGAAATAAGGAACGAGACCAACCAAAGGAAACCATCTCTAACGTACTGCACTAGGGCTTGGAGGTGAACTACACCAGCGCACTTGATCACAGAATCTCTTGCAAACAGGCCGGAAACGGTACAGTACAAAAAACAATTCGTGACAAGCAAAACAAAACATAGTATGCCCCCAAGCCAGCACAGCTGATAGAGTCCTGTTTTGTGTTGTTGTTTTCTCGAGGTTTTTCACGCTTTTTCAATGAAATGTAAACACCTGGAGAAGACAAAAAAACTGACTACCCCCCCCCCCAAGTCAGGACATGTCAGGACAGCTGACATAGTCTTGTCTTTCTTGTTTTTGTGTTTGTTGGCTCTGTCGAGGTTTTCACACTTCTCCAAAAAATGCAAACAACCTCGAGAAACCCAAAGAAAAAAACTGACTACCCCCCCCCCCCAAATTAGGACAGCTGACATAGTAGTCTTGTTGTTGTTCTTGGGTTTGTTTGGCTTCCTCGAGGTTCTTCACACTTTTCCAAGGATATGCAAGAAACCTCGAGAAACCCAACAAACAAAACAACTGAATAAAACAAAACTAAGACTACCGCCCGTCCCAGTCAGGACAGCTGACATAGTCTGTTTCCTGAAAGAATCAGTTGAATCACGAGAAAGAAAAAAAACGCACGCTCAGGGTGACCTGGTCTGGAACAAACCCGGTGTTCACGCTCGTATCCTACACTGAAAATCCTTGTATTCCGAGCGGCGGTTTTCTTAGAAGTTGTGTGCTCTAGTTGGGGCCTCAAAATTGGAACCTCACACGTGGCCACTGTGCTATCATGCACGCCTGAGAGTTCACAAGCACGCAGAATTGGCAAGCCAGCAAACACGAAAGCAGGACGGCAGGAAAACAGCCAGGGAGGCGGGGAAGGAAAGAGCAAGGAAGAAAAGGAAGCCGCGTAGCAGCAGGTAGGGCTGAAAAACACCATGGCAAACGGGCCTGCAAGGTAAGCAGTCATGAAACCAGCGCGGACTTCTGCTTCCGCTTGCGAAACACTTGCGCGAAACTTGCGCTAAATCTTACGAGTCAAAACGGCAAAAGCGTGCATCATATGTCAAAGGCAGTGATGCTGGCACTGATGCTTCGAGTCACCAAACTGTTCGGGATGCAAGTCCGACTTGAGCGAATCTTGTGAACAATGCAGTTTTGACTTGCGCGGCCGCGTGCTTGTTCAAACTTGGCACGCCGAATTCCAAGCGGCGGCCTACTTACCCGAAGACTAACCAACACCCTGGGATCCCCGAACACATAGTAAGTCGGTTTTTTGGCTCGCTTGAGCGATGTTTGACCAAAACCCCCCCCTCCAAGCATCCCATTTCTTGAGCTGGAGGCAGGTCGCCATCCCCTCTCGGCGCTCGCTTCTGTGGCATTTTGAGTCTGCAGAACCATGGACCTTGAGACGACAACACACACTGGAGCACCAGCGTTGCTGGCGATCGGGACCCCCCCGACGTCACTCCTGGACATTCTCTTAGTGTCGCTTTGCATTCATTGCGACGTGGGAGGAGCTCTACGGCTGAAAAAGAGTTGGCAAGCATGCAGTAACCGGATAGGATAGGAAGTATTAACCAGGTTCCCGCATCGCAACCTGGACAGAAATAACTGTTAAACCACGCAGGAAAATTAGGTTTCTGCTCATTGTGTTGGCACACAACAAGGGAATCGACACAGTATGCACCTGGCTGAGTTTGTTTGACGCTTGCGATTCCGCACTGATATGATTGTGTGTCCTTTGGCAAACCTTTACTTGTCCCATTCAAATCGCTGCCCAAATTTGCAAGCATCTTTCTTACACTCCACAACCCTTAAAGGAAGGGCCGAGAACTACCATGCGTTGCTGCGGGCTCTTGTGACTTGTGAACTTGTCACAGCCTAATATGGGCTTCGATACAACCAGCGCTCGTCTGACTAACCCAGCCGCACAGCCAGGGTGCCTGGTAGGAGCTCGCAACGTCATCCAACATGTCCAGCAAGGCGTGGTGAGTGACAAGAATGCGGGCAAGGCCTTGCGCATTCTCTTTTTTTCGTGATGGCAAACAGGAAGTGTGCGGCACAGAAAAAGTCTGTGCTGATAACCCGAGGCACACGCTTAGGTGGCGCACAAGACGCTCGCTCAATTGAAGAAGATCCTGCGACATTCAACTGACACGAGGCCTTGGCCTTTGTGCAAAACCCATGCCGCGCGCATCCTCCAGTTGCCCTGAAGCGAGCTCCACACTAGCTTCGGACTACGGCTGCAAGGCCCCAGCCCCAGCTTCAGCCAATCCCAGCCCCTTGTTCCTGAAACCTGGCTGCAACGTTGCGCGAATGTTCTTGGGGCTTCGGCGAGTCTAAGCGCTACTCTCCAGCTGCTGCAGCTGCCCTGAAGCGAGCCCCCACCCTCAGCTCTTGGGGAACAGCCCCGCTTCCGTAGCCATATGATGTAACGGAGGTCCTTGCTACGCAGGTGGGCAACGGGAAAGTCATAGTTTGACAAGTCTCAGTAGACTCAACGTAACAATGGCAAAAAGGGGGGCGGGTGGCCCCGGTCTCTGTAACGGGGCATGTAACAGGGGCACGCAGCCAGCCAAACGGCTTTGCTCAGCCGCCTGTGCGAGTAGCCCTAAGGGCCAGCGGGCTGGCTAGGCGAAGAGCAAACTGAGGGCATGGGGCCTGTGGCTCTCCAGCTGCCTGCCCTGAAGAGACCCAGCCCCTTCATGGCTTGGACCTCTGTGGCTGTCCTGTGCCAGATCTGATACTTTCGCACAGCTAATTTCGCGCATTACTTGCCTGGCCCTGGAGTAAGACCGGAGATCAAAGGAAGCCTCCAAATCAGATTAGATTGCCCCGGCCGAGGGCAGCGCGAAGCGTTTAAAATTCGTAAAGTATCTGTGGAATGTGTGTAGCGTCACAGCTTGAATAAATGTGGCATTTGATATAACCTGCAGGTTCCCTGTGAAAGCTCGTGCAAGCCATGTCATGTTTACATCCCGAGCGTCAAAGCAATGCATCTTAGCCACAGACACCCAACTAGGCTTGAAGCTGCTCTGTTAAAGCTGAATTCATCGCATCAGGGGTATGAACAGGTCTCACCATGCCGATGACACAAAGCCGGTGATGGCTGTTAATCATAGAAATTAGAGTGTGTAAGCTCGAGCAGCTTCGAAGCAGCGCAAAACTGGTGAAAACGAGTGTATCCATTTCCGAGTAGCTGCACCAACAGTTGGCTCAAAGTCCGTAGCATCGTTCATAGAAATGCTCAGCCATCTTCACAATCCCAACCATCAAGTATCTATCATTCAGCATTTAGGCTGAAGTCTGCAATGAGTGTGTAAAGATTGACTGACTGAGGCAAACCAGGTTTACAAACTGGAGATCTCTGCGGCAACATTTGACTAGTCCGGCACTCCTCTGTCTCTTCGTCATAGACTGGAAACCGGACCTACAAGGACAACTTGTGCATTGTATCACGTGCCCAAGTCTCACATCAAGGACGCGACCCAGGCACTGGCTAGATAAGCGGCAGCCACGGAGAGTGAGCAGCCTTGAACGTGAAGGATGGTACTTTCCGTTCAAGGAAACTATACACGCTGCGACAGGCGCCAGCGCGTTGGTGCATGAGAAACGAGACGCTGGCACCCAACACAGCCTGCATCAATCACGCATACGCAGTGTGACTGGCTCTTTCCCGGGGTCTGAAGGCCTCCTCTTGCAGCTGGTGATGGCGGACATGGCTTACCAGACTTGATGCAAAGGCATCCTATGCACGTCAAATGCTGGGCATGACTTCGTGCAGCTTGACCTGGTGTCCTGTTGGCATCCAGGCAGCTCGTCTGCCTCTGCTCGTTCCTGCAGCGCGCATGCTGGAAGTGAGATTCAAGTTGCATTTTAAGTTCATATTTGCAAATTTTGCAAGCTCAATGTGTTCATGTGCAACGTGCAGTCTGAGCTGATGTGGCCTGAAAGCACTCTAGACGTCAATTTTGTCAGTGGATTGCAGGAGACATGGATGCATGTATGTGCCTGCAACTGCTGAACCGATGTAGTTATACTGTTCTACAATAGTAGAATTCAATTTTGAATACCGCCTTGGGAACTCTGAAGCGCCTAGCTTAAGGGTCCCCTCCAGACTCGCCAGGTTCATAGCTCCGGGCTTTACCGGCAAGTTGCGAGTTCGATGGAGGCAATCGCAGAGGCATTCCGCGCTTTGCACAGCACCGGCAGCACCATCCATGGGATGTTGATTCTCCGTACCATGTGATCATGCTCTTGGTTTGCCAAGCCGCCCATAAGTTTTGTGGCTCTTCAGCAAGCGCGGCAAGAGAAGGAGAACAACTTTTTCTTTGTGCCATGGAGCCGGTCACCACTGGACAACGGGACTACTTGTCCAGCGCTCGCCAAGCCCTAGCTGCCTTGACAAAGCACACTGGCAAGCCGCTCTGGGTGCCGTCATTGGACAAGAAGCCTTTGCGGCTTTGAGCAAAAGCCCAGCAAAAGCCCGGCAGGCTCGTGTGCTCAAAAGCTTCCAAGCGGAAGAAGCAGCAAAGCACGCTGCTGCGAACCAGAAGCACAGGTGTGACAGTGGCTTGGAGGAAGGCCGTGGCAAGCTTCTAAGAGTGTGTTATAGGGCATTATATGCGGCATATAGGAGACCTCTCGCGACTTGGGTCTGGCGCAAGAAGCACCGTACTTGCGTACTTGCGGTGAAAAGCACAAAGAAGTGCCTTTGGACACATGCATACAAAGAGGTTTCGGCCGGCTCTGTGTGAGGTGCTACGAGTGTGGGAGCGCCCTAGCAGTTTGGTGCACGGGTTTCAGCTTTCAGTTCTTTTGCTTCAAGTTGGCAAACTTGTAACATTTAATTTGTAACCAACTGCTTGTTTCTGTCTTTCAGGAGCCCTGCAGGTTGGAAGGATGTTTTGGACTTCTCCCTGTTCCCTCGACTTCGAGGGGTGTCTGGCAATGCACGCAGCAGGGTGAGCAGGCTTGCTAATGCTTGTCTAAGCAACTGCAGAATTTCGAAGCCCTTGTGCGCTGCCAGTGATGCATCGACAAGCCAGATGGGTATCAGTGACCGAGCCTGTTACCCCAGATTGAACGTGCATTTGGGGACGATCCACAATCGTTGCAACCATTCCCAGGGTGTTTTCTCAGCGAACACCAGGGTGAAAAATGTCCGCATTGATGTCCACACATGTGGCATTGATGCTCACCAAGCAAGCACTTCCGGGCTCCGTGAGCACTGGCAAGAATGGCGTTCTTAATCGGCAACTAGATGATGAGATACGATGCTGGCACTGGTGCGGGCAGAGCACAATGTCCAATGACATTGCTAGGCTCACTGCGCCGACATTGCTGCATAATCAGCGACGAGTTATTTTTGCACGTTCCGTTCTTCGCTACAGGACTTGCAAAGCGTCCGGCAAAAGTGCGGCTTCGTCTAGGCGAAGCGAACAGAGGTCTGAAAACTGGACCCCTTTTTCGATGAGCCTACTGGCTTGAAACCAAGCTTGAAATCCTTGGTTTTGCATGGTTTTGGGACTCTTTACTAAAATGGAAACACAGGTGCACTTGCGGTTTTGCAGCCGCTGGGATGTATGTGTAGTCGTATGCAAATACCATGAGCAGGTAATCTGCATGTCAGGTAATCCCTACGCAGGGTGCAAGAGTGCTACTCATCATTTTGGCATTCCGTGCAAACGAGTGCGTGAGCTACGTGCTTGTCTGCACTGAGACAGATTGTAATAATGATACTATTCTAGTGTTAAACACAAGTTTACATGATACTCACGAGTTGGTTGCAAGAATGCATCCTGCAAGTTGCTGCAATCTGAGATTTAATTTCGGTTCAGCCTGAGCTTGTGTTTGGAGAAGCCGCAGTAGTCGAAAAACTGGCCAGCCGCTGCGGACCTTAATATGTTTAGGAGACGCTTCTTGAAAAGCTGAATTTCATGAGGCCACCAGGTCCAACCATGGAAGCGAGTGCCAGTTGTAGTCCAACAAGCCGCCTTCCTCGGTGGTCATAGATGGTCATGGACATCGCCAGAAACTGTCATTGGCGGCCAAGATTCTCTCCAAACTCCACTGAAGGAACCTCTGAATGCTTGTCTTCAAAAGCTTCGAATTCCTCAATTGCCTGGGTCTCGCACCTTGAGTCAGAAGCAAAAGATCCAATGAAACGCGACCAGGAGGACAATCCACGTTCAGGTGCGGGTCGTGAATCCTTGGAAATCTTGCTTGAAGCACTCTTGCTGCTATTTGCACGCTGGCCTCTCTGTCATGGATTGAGTAGCGCGGTCCAATTCTGCCATCAGCAGACTTGCGCCCTACCACCAAGCACATACATTGAAAGGCGAAATGCTGCGCCAGCCTGGCCATCCAAAAGTCTCAGTAGCTGCCGATGCACGTAGGGCCAGTCCTCCCAAGGTGATTTGGAGCACACACGCACACACTGAAAAAAAAAAGTGAGGCCTCAGAACCATTGGATTTGCAGTCGTCACCCCACTGTGCCTGGGCAAATCTCTAGGCTTTGCGGCTTTGCTTGCAACCCTCAAGTCTGCCCTAAGAGCTGATCTGAGCATACACCAAGTCCGCTTAGAAGCCTGAGCATTTCTAGTGCAAAATGAGCTTGGTCTCAAGACCGTGCAGCCAAGCAACGCAGCAATGGAGCTGTACAAAATGTTCAGGCAGCATCCATGCATGTCATCACCTTTAAATGAATGCTTGGCCATGTCGAACTGTGCGTAACAATGGCGGCACCTTCCAGGTTCAACAAGTCTGCCTGCTGACGCACTGCTTTCAGCTAAACCCGCTGCCCAGTGATTGTTGAGCTGATGGCTATGACAAGGGCCAGCCTACCTCGGCACAACTGTTCACAATAGTCTGCAATATCAACTGCTTTGCCTATCATGATGATGATTGCGATTCAAACAATGGAAGCGGCGTCTGACGCATGTTCGCAACTGGCAACAAGCGACAAGCGTAGGTGCGGTGAAGCATATTTTGCTTGCGTGAAAAGAGACCCTCGATGAAGAAACGACAAATGCAAACAAGCCACGGCCAAAACTACCCCGCAAATTGTAACCATCTCATTTGATTACAGTAAGTGCATCCCCACATCGACTTCCTGATGCTATCGTACCTGGTCTCAAAAAGGAAAAGCGAAGCCTGTGGTGGGCCGTCCAAAAGCAATGGCAGTCTTCTTTTTCTCCATGTGTGGCTTGAATGCGTCAGGCGAAGCCTGAGCAAATAACTGTGCTCTCATGCCCCATGAGCAACATCGAAGCACACTGACACCCCGTCATGGAAAACTACCAAGGACAAAACAGAAAGGAATGGATCACTGTAAGAAAGAACATGAGCATCAAATCAGCTCAGCTTGTCAGGTCGATTTCCTGATAAGCGGACTAGGTTCTGCAGCTCATTTTGAGCGTTGCGCCTTCCTTCGCGAACAAGTGAAGTGGCAGTGTAACAGTAACTTGCCCTTTCTGGTCTCGGTGGCTGCAACCGCCACCCCATGCAGCCAGCTCGCGACTTGCAATTCCCGTTTTATCATCCAACGCACCCCAAGTTGCAAAACTGCAAACTTTGGCCCAAACAAAACTTGAAAAGTTAGTACGCTAGCTTGCAAGGGCCGCAGGGGTCGCCAGGGACACAAGCGCCGCAAGCCAGAAGGGTCGCGAAGGCAACAAAGCCCGAGCCGTAAAGGCAACAAGGGCCATATCGCAGCTTCACCGAAACTTGACAATGATGGCGCTACAGTTGTCACCACCTCACAGAGTCAAGGGTCTCCAGCGAGAATGCGTTTACCGCAATCGCAAACGAACAAGGGCTGACTTGCATGGAGAATAGGAATCATGGTCGCACTGTGATACTCCGCTGCCTCCCCCCGCCACAGTATGAAAGTCAAGAAATGTCAGGCCTTTCCCTCGGGTCTTCACCAGGTTTGGGCTGCAGCTCTGATCAACTAGCTCTTCGGCAGCCTACGCTGCATGGCATTTCACTCTATGCGCAACACCAGCCCGATGCCTGCTTCACTGTGACACCTGCTCTCAATGCATCCCTGACAATGTCGACCACTTTCTGGCAGGAGGCTTGCATGACACGGAGGTCGCAATTGAAAGTGCTGACAAATCTGTCCTGGGAAGTGTGAAGCTCGAAGCAGCCATCACAAGCGAGAACCTTGCAACACAAGCTACAACAACATTACACTGCTTCCAAATACAAAACAATGCTTGAATGTGGCTCGCCTCAACATGCCTGGATGCTGTTGCAAGAAAAAGAAATCGCTTCCATCAATCCCTCTGGCAAATCGATATTGTGCTTTCAGCCATTACGTGTTCTTCAGCCTTTTGCGAAGCTTTCTCGAAGCTCTCTCGAAGCTTTCTTGTAGCTTTCACTGCGGTGTGCTTCTTCTTTGAGTGCAATTTGGAGGGTGATTTCCTAACCAGTATGCCCTCAGTCTCTGGCCAGAAACTCGTCGTCGTCATCCAGCTGAATTGATCGTATCTGACAATTAGCATTACCACAGGGTGAAAACAACACAAACTCATATCTGGCAAGGGCACTTCTGGCACAGCAATGACCTTCTGCTGCTCTGCACTCAGGTCTTGGCGTGCCTGGGTGGCTCCATTCAATGCAACAAAATATGTCATGGCTTGCTTGACCGTTCAAAACAGACACTGCGGCACCTTGTAGTGAAAGTCGCCCAAAGCTCTTGAGAGATTGAGACCCCACCTGCAAGCAAGAGCGCAAAGGAGCGCCGGGTAGTCAGTTGGTCATTGTCGTGTCTCCCGCTTGGTCCACCACCCATCTATGCGATGACAAGGTCCGATCATCTTGACCGAGCCACCTGCTTGCCTGCCATCGGCGCGCGATTGCCGCGCAGAGCTGAAAGCAAGTTACTTCTCAAACAACCGTAAACAACCACTGCGCAATCTGCCTAATACGCTGCTCTTCGCTGGCAAGCTCTGGCTTGTGGTCCTACAGGCATACCAAGCTACAGAACACAGACGCCAATCATGACTCGCATGGCATGCCTCGGAGAGTTCAATTGCCTCAGGCGCTAAGCACGCTCCATTACCCCACCAAACAGTTGCCAGCCTTGCCATCTCGGCAAAGAACTGCTCTTGAATCTCCACAGTTGGCCACTGTGACACTTCTCTGCGGACCTGCAGACAAACAGTTTCAGATTTTCCAATACTGATGGATTTTTGTTACTTTCTTTCTCAAGGGATGGCACCAAATGTGTGAGACCAGTCGCCTGCATTGTCCACAAGTGCCACAATGGCAGTACTTCCTCAAAAATGATCGTTCAACTGCTGTCGCATGTGAGGCACAACACGTGCCTCTCTCACTTGCCTCTGTCTGGCCACCACACCATGATGCAAGAATCCAAGTTCAGCGCCCACTAAACTGAAGGCATTCCCTCTCTGGCTGGCCTGCACATTGCATTGACCGCAACCCCTGTCGTGATAATAGGCGGATTCCTTTCCATGGCTGCATAGTGCGCTTTGTTGACTGCAATTGATGAATCCTTCACTTGCCAAACACCCACTCATGGGTCCAAGTTGCATATAAATGGGTGAACAACTTTTCTCCGCGTCTCCTGATTATTAACAATCAGCGGCATGATTGTGCACCTTCATCTTCACTCCTTTTTCCCACGATTGCTGGGCGTGTCCTGACTGGCTCAGGACTGCACAATTCGGGTATTCCCCAAATTCTGTAGCTTGGGCAGCCTCTGGTGGCAGCAGCCAGCTCTGCAAAGCCAATTATTTCTAACGGCGTGTCAAACTCTCGGCACACTCAGGTGATTTTGAGGCCAGGCCTGCAACAGCTGGATGCACTGGCAGGCAAACAGTTGCCTGACCACTGGACACACTGGCTGCACTGGCTGAGCTGGCCTGCGCCTGCTTCGCTTCAGACGCAGATTGTTTATTTTGATGACCATCTTGCGGTGCAACCGCAAGAATCGTGTGTAGTCGCTCAGGGTAGCCTGCACTAAACAAAGAATAACAAAAATGCCAGGCCAAAAGATTGCAAGCAGGCGCCTCTTCAATGTTCACTCCGTGAACAAACATGAGCGTCAGGTCCTCGAAACAAACAACCACTCGAAGCATCGCTTCTCAAACTCGTCAAAACTCGGCCAAGGTTGACTCAGCCAAGATTCACCATAGTGCTTTGGTGGGGTTTCCAACCTCCAAAGCCAGTCTGGGTACCTGTCAGCTAGGTGGAGATGACGCAAACGTATCAGGCGATTCCGCCAAGCGACCAACTGTCAGGCTTAATCTCTTCATCCGGGCGCTCGGAGAAGATGTTGAAGACCTCAACGTTGACAATGTTGACACATTCGAAATGCAATGCACCAAACGCATTCAACACAATGCTTTCCTGTCAGTGCATGTTCTATCAGAGCCCCCCGCCTGGCCAGAGCCAGCTGGTCCTGCTGGCGCCGCTGGGGCGGCTTTGCCCTTGGCAGCCTTACCGAGACTCGGAGAGAGAAGCAACAGAAGGTCGCAATGTCGCATGAATATCCGAGTCGTCGGACAGCGAAAGATCACCAAGTCCCAGACCTTCTTTGGCCCCAATCTCAGCGCCTCACGGTGACTCACGGCATACGGCTGCTTGCCCGCTTCGAGGAGCAAAGCAAATTTCAAGGGCTCCGGCAGGCATGTGCAGGAAGCGTTTGAAGCCGTCACCCAGGAGACATCTCTGGAAAAGCCTCAGCTGGAACCAGTGGCCAAAGCTGTCACGCAGTCCATCACTCTGCAACGCCCCGCCCGGCACGAGGCATGCACTGGGTCGCCATTGCTTCACACAGCAAAGAGATGCATGTAAAGCTAACAGGTGGCTTTGTGACTGGGCATGGCAAACATGAGCAGTCTTAGTACTCCTACGCGTGGCCTGGTATATTGCACACTATGGCAATCTTGAGCAAGCACATGCAAAACGCAACACTCCAAAGCCAAGTAGTCCTGCAGAAAGACTCCCCAAAATAAGTAGCTCGCGTGTGGCTAATGGGTCAATTGCAGTGGTCCAAGTTACTCGCTTGCAACTGCAACTCTCCTGAGCTCTCCTAAAACTAACCAAGACGAAAAAATGCGACGCAAGGGAGGCACCACCCCTCCAGTACCACAGAGCCTCCAAATGCCGGGCAACGACTCCCAACGGACCTTGGCACAACTAAGCTGGGGTACTAAGGTATCTCGAGATGAGAATGTCGTCCTACCGGCCGTACTGAGAGCCTCGCTCGCAAGTTGAACGCCGTTTCCTTTGGAGTTCAGGCCACTGCCCAACTGGCGGGGAAAGAGAAGGCAAATTCAGCAAATGGGTAGCAAAAGTGTCCACGGAGTCCATGATTCACAACGGAGTGCGGCATGCCAAACTCGGCCTGCCGCAGGAACGCGTCCATCGCAATCATGCTCATCGACAGCGACTGGCGTGGTTTGCTGTGCCACTGATGTCGCAAGGCCCACGGCAACGAACGAATGCTTCGCGCATCGCAGGACTCGATAGCAGGCTTCAGAAGCACTTGTTTGCTTTTTTGCTCTTTTCTGCGTCTTTTCTTCAAGACACAAAAGGTGCTCACTCCACGCGAGCCAGAACGGCAGTCAGGTAGGCTGCCTGACATGGCGGCTTTCAAAAGCCTTAATTAACTTAAACAAGCTCGATCTCCTCGGGGCAAGCTGGAGAAATCGGATGGTCGGGCGCTGCCTGCAGGCAATTACGATGTGACGTGATTCATGGCATCCAATGCCTGCGAGACCTGTAGAACTGCAACATCCTAGGTCGCAAAATTGACTGCCACATGCCATATGCTCTCCAAATGCTCAGACAACGACTCGCTCCGCTGCATTTGCTGCGTTGTTGAGCATGCTCAGGAAGCGCCCGGATTGCGTCATAGCTGCAGAGCACGTGCCTAGTGGGCGAATCAGCTCAGTCAGCTTTCAGGATCGAAATGGATCGAACATTGCCAATATTTGCCAAAGTTACAGGTCAGCAGCAAGCCGCCGGGTGTCACCAAACGCATCGCCGCCTGGCAACCGCATTGCCACTTTGAAGTCAGGCCTGGGACCATGCTACATCCTGGGACCATGAGGCAAACCAGTTGGGCCCTTTTCAATCGCCTGGTTCAAGGCGAGGTATTTGCGCTCAGCCTTGGCCAAAGCAGCAGCGCGCCTGGAAGCAAGCACTTGCTGCCTTGCCCAAGTCATTCATGGAGCCTGGAAGGAGCCAACTTTGGTGGATCAAGAATGACCACGTTGTACTCCTGACGGGATGGCAATCTGACCATGCAACTCACTGTCAAACAGTGTTTCCTTTCACTGAAAACAAATACGAACGAAGCCAAACATCTCAAGCTCTGTGTGCACAAGCAAATTTGATGCCCAGTTGGGCTTGAATATCTTTGACCGCTTTGACTCCTGCTTTTCGGCCACGGCCGCCTGCAGAAAGGAGGCAACATCCTTGGCATAGCGTAGGTTGCTATCCGCCTAACAGTCTGAGGTGGGAAATACTGGGAAATACTTTGAAATACTGGGAATATGGCAGACTGCTCCAAGCAGAGACCGCTCAACTCATTGAGCTCGGCGTTCCGGGCTGCCACCTACCACTGCTGTATCTGCTGTCCCTGGCTGTCGCTGGCACTTGTCATGCCCAGGAAAACCTTGATCAGGCCTTCAGTGCGTCCGCAGACGAATCAACCGCAGTCACACTGGAGGCCCCACCTTCAAACATATTGCGGTGGCTGGGATCATGACAGTACGTGGGCCCAACCAGACAGAGCTGCCAGCGAAAAGGCCCCATGATAGCAGCACCTGGATATGACAAGCAGAGGTCTTGGGAGTCCATTACTAGCGATCTTTCCCTCTCAAGCCCAAGTGCTGCACAAGTCGAGCACCTTGGAGGATGCGAAGCCACATTGCCGGCAAAAAAGAGAGAGGCTCCAACCCGAGGTGCCATCTGCTGTGACACGAGGGAGCCGATAGCTTTGCGATTTTCACCTTGACATCGGCAATTTGGAAGCAGGCCGGAGAACATCGGCTAACTGGGTGCCCCAACGCTGGTCAAGGTACAAGCCGGTCCTGAAGATCGTAAAATCATGGCAAGACGTAACAAATGATGCGCATTGCAGAATTCAGCTCCCGACTTTTGGCCACCAGCAGGACGCACCCAAAAACGCAGCCCAGACTCGGCCACCTGCAGGCATGACTGAGGCCTGGCAAATTGTTTGATCCATGAATGGTGGTTGGGCAACTTGATCGCACTTGTGAGATGCTTAGTCAACAGGTCACAAGGATATCCTGACGAGCTAACCAAGAAGATGACTGGCTTTTCTTTGAGGAGACCAAACCTGCATCAGCAACGGACAAGCCTGGCATTCCTCTGATTGACTCACCTGGCCAAGAACGCATTCCCACCCGTGCATAGCTGAACAAAAACCTACCTCCTCCTCAAATGCCTCGTCATACCCTGCGCCAAGAATTCAGAGCTGGCACTGATTGACCGTACTCCAGCTGCAAATCTGGAGTGCCTTCATGTCCGGGAGGTGAATCCTGGCCCGATTTCTGTCTGCATGGTGAGAGGCGGGAAAAGACTTAACACACTCCTGTCGCAGGTGAGCACTGCGACGCCAAACGATGCGTACTTGCTCTCCGGCCTAGAATGCGCAAACGCAGCGCTGGTACTAGAACACCTGCAAAAGGCCGAAATTTGCATTGCAATTGGCCGCACGTCAGTGCCCGTCAGTGCCTCCAAAAAGACTTGCCGAAGAGCATCCTGCACGACCTGTCTGTGCTTTTCAACCTGAGACACACAGATGAGGTCTGATTCCATTCGCGAGCGCAGCCCTCGACCCAGAAAGCTGATGTCCGCACCACAGCAATTGTTCCGTAGACGTCAACCTTTGTGCGAGGCTTCAGGATTCTCTCAGCAAGAGGGTTCGCTGTCCATCAGATTCCAATCATTGGCAACACTTCACTGAGTCACCCACGATCAGTCCTGAGATGTGATCACCCTCGCCATTAACAAGCCTGTAGGCTTCATCCTCAGCACCATAGTGAGAGCTACCAAAAACTATGGTGAAGAAGAACAAACATTGCCATGGCGCAAGTAGTGTCCTGACCAGCTGTCGGCAGGCCCAAAAGTCGACGCGTGGCAGCTGCAGAGCGCAAGCGATGAAGCAGAATTGAAGGTAAATCCGGCCTCCGAGTGCAAGTTGCAAAACGTGATTTTTTAATTTGTTTTTAAAAATACATGAGTGATATGCCACCTGCTACCTCCGCCGCGTTGAAGAACCTTGCAGCTTCAAGTGGGGCAAGCTTGGCGGGCAAAACTGTTCTGTGCCATCGCCCAAGGTCGGCACCCGCACTCTGTACAAAGAATTGGGGTTGTAAACTCCCCATGCCTAAGCAAGCTTGCTTCATCTTGTGTCATATTCAGAACCTACGCAACGCGATGTGCTGGTATCCTGCTGTACAAGTACAAAGAAACCCACAGCTACAAGGCATGCACTCGGACGCATCCAACGCCATCAAGGACCTGCCGAGATGAGCATCTGTGTATGTCAAGCCATCGACATCATACCTCAACAAGATCTCCGGCATCAGGCTCGCCAATGACCTGAACGCGCAGTGGCCTGCCCTACAAATCTGGTCTCTGGTCTCACCCAAGTCCAGATTCTGAGACCATGAGTTCTTGCCGTAAGGCCTGGACGCGGCAGATAGACCGGTCATACAAGAGCGGAGAAAGCAAACGCTCACGCCCTCTGTGAAGAACTACTTGGGAGAGCGCATCTCTCCTCACACGTTGGAGGCGCTGCCGACACCCTGGAAGCCGAGCGCAAGCCACGCTCGCCAGGAGGCATCGCTTCGCCTGAAAACGTTCACTTGCTTGACGCCTGACATCATGTCGACATCAACGAAATGATATTCGCCAACCTGGTCATCCCATCGGCGTTGGGGCCATGCTTGCCGCTGTCCGCCGTGAGGCACGCCGTGAGGCACGCCGTGAGGCACGCAGGCAGACCGGGCAAATGGCTGCACCTGCATCGCAACCTCCGCTCATGGAAATCAGTGGAAAGCACACTTATGCCAATGAGGTCTTGACTCCCTTGACAAAGGAACGTACGCCTGAAGCAATAACATGCCAATGCATTCAGAGCTCGAGCCAGGCAACCCCAGCCCCAGAGAAATCAGTTTGTGGGAGATTGATTGGTTCGCTTCATCTGCTTCACTATCTGAGCCAAACAGCATTGCTCAAATTGTCAGTCTCTCGCGAGAGGTAGTGGCTGGAGGAGTGCAATGCCAGCAATCTCGCAGGAGAGACCTTGCCACACAAGCCGCCTTCCGCTTTCAAGGCGATGTCTGCCTGGTGCTTGGGACAACTTGCAAGCCGCTAGCTGACTGTGGAACACGGTGCCTCGACACCATTGGATTGCACATGCCTCATCACGCAACGAATGGCTGGTCCCCTGGTGCCCCTAGTGGCGTAATTTTGACCCATATGTTGGGTTTTCAGCGGCCACAGCATGCGAAATGACACGTTTAGAACGATGAGCAAAGCTCGGCTCACTGCTCTGTTCCCTTACCATCCTGCAAGCCATGTCTCTGCAGTCGAATCACACGTCAAACAGAACTATCATCGCTGACATTCATTCACGGTATTGGTTTTATGGGAATATTCACACAGGGGCACCGCGAAGTATTCACACAGGGCACCGCGAAGTGGGTCCTGTTTGAAGCATTAACAATGCCCAACTTCAGGTTCTTCCCTGATGTTTGGCGCCTAGACTTGCTACTCCACATTGTGCTCCCAGGCTGCTGAGGCCAAAATTGCCGCTGGGAGCCTTAAAGTGACGTTTTAACTTGCCAACTGGAAATTGTGCACGCTCAAATTACGCCCTGGTGCCACTATTGTAGCTGCTACTTTCAATTGACCCTCAAATTGCTGACAATTGAAATCCTAAGTGTCATCTTCGAATTGTGTCTGCACCCCCAACCTTTGCGCTTGACAACTGCGCGCTCGTCATGTTTTGCATTGGTTTGCATCGTTGGCAAGGAAGCTTCCAACAGCACAAGTGGCAGTTGCGCGATCTGTTCTCATGGGTGTGCCGTAGATACTCCTGCTCACCTCAATATGCGGAATTCGCCTCGGCCCCCACGGCCTGGAAGCTGTCAGACCCTCTTTGGATCATCGGAATCATACCAAAACCCTCCACCCAAACCTTTAGGTAAAACAGATGTCGAACTAAGGTTGCCTGCTCCAGCCCAGGTCGCGTAGCTCTGAGCCTCAGCGTGGTGAGGCCCCGGCTCACCCTTCTAGAGCACTTTGAAGAGAGCCGCAGTTGCGGCTCTTGGGCCTGCAAGGCTTTGTGTTGCGCCTTGCCCCCGGACTGCGGCTGCACTGCCCCTGCGCAAACTCCAGCTTCTAGTTTCTGCGCCTGGCCGCAGCCCTTGCGTCCACTGCGGCCTTGGACTAACCGATCCCCTTTCACCTGGTCGTTGTGGCTGTAGCTCTCAGGGCTGCAGCCCCGCGCGTAGCCGCAGCCCTTCCCTTCGCGCGGCAAGCCCCGCGACACGCGACTGGCCACGCCTTCACGCCCCTCAATCCCTTGCGCCTAGGGCCCAGACTACCAAGCGCGGTGGCTGGCCACCTCCGCTTGAGTTTTAATTTCCTGGCACCCACTTTGCGCTGCTGCCTGCCAGACTGCTTGGCCCAGCCCCTGCATCATTTTCTCTAGCTTGCATCGTTCTTCTGGCTTGATCTCTTCCCCTACTAAGAAAGGTTCCCCAGCGGCCCCAACTAAATTAGAGTTGCCCACTTCGAAACCTCTAGTGAACTCACACCTCAAAGCCAACCGAACGAATCCGGCTGATACTGGACGCGGCGGGCAGCGCGAAGCGTTTGCAATCAAGCCGCTCAAAAGCTTGCCAAGCCAGCAGATCTCGCCGTCTAAAACATCCCAAATCCTTCAGCCTATAGGCCTTTTTCCCAGCTTAGCAAATGTGCAAGAAACTTAATTTGAATTTGACCCTGCTTCAATCAAATCTCAAAGGCCCCTCACCGCATCATTTGTCGGGCAACAAAAAGGCACTGTTCAAATTCAAGGCTAACATCCAGCACTTTCATGAAGTTTACGCCTCATTGCCTGTCTGAATGAACAGGAATGTACTGGAAGATGTCAGCTCTCCTCTTCTTTGGGTTTGGCTCTGCTGGATGTCCCTGGAGTGCGCGGCCTCATACGCTGCCGGCAGGCAACGTGCAATCTTACAAATGCGACAAATGCGGCAACTTGTTCAAACACATATCTAGTTAACATTGAACCAGAAGGCACCGCTTAGCTGGCTCTCAGCGCAAGATTTGCTCACGGTGGAAAAGTCGAGTCCCATGCCCTGCAATTCCGTCTGGGTCATGTGATTGCTCCTAATCACGCATTCGTGACCGCGTGCTCAGATCGGTTGTCCCGCCAACCCTTGTTGTCACCTCCTTCTCGGATCTCCGGGAACCAGAGTCTCGTAGCTTGTTGGCACAAACCTGCAATACCTGCACACTTGGAAACGAAGCATTCGCAAACAAACATAAGTCAACAAAGCATGACACATGCTCATGCATTTTCATGCCGTGAGAACAAAGGACATGGAAACACGTTCCCGCATTTCCCGCCTTTGGAAACTCTTTGGAAGCAATGTGAGATACTTGAGACCCACCATGGCCGTCAAAAACGGCAAAAAGGGCCTCCACAGTGCTGCATCACAAATGTCAAATTTCTCATGCTTACAGCTCCTGGTCTAGCAGCGGCTCAGGAAGGCAAGCCACGATGCAAGTGGCGTCCTGTACTTAAGTCAAGCGTATGCAGACTGACAAAACAAATACGCTAGTGACACAGATGCAAAATATATCTGAGCTCGCTACCTCCATTGCAGCTCGCCAACCTTGCATCTCACACACTGCCCATTCCAATCCTTGGCATTTCCCTCCTGACCGAACCGGTGCGGGACAATCACAAGATTGCTGACTCTAGCAAATTGTCCTTCAGTCTTCTTTTGACGAAGTGGCCCACCGACACGAGCACCTGCACAGTTACAGGATATTTGTGAGTGTGGATAGTTACAGGATAGCAGAATCCAGGCCTCCCACTGGAGCGGAATCAAAAAGCGCTGTGCCGAACATTCTCCACATCATCACTGCAATCATCACTGCAATCATCTTGGCCAGGCAAGTCCGCGTAGTCCGGAACCCACAATGCAACATGCAAGCAAACCAAACAACTGAGGAGCACGCCACTTTCCGGAAGTAGTCATGAATAAATTCATTGCCAGGTAATTGCCCAATCAGAAAAATTGTGACCAGAAAGAAATTCAGGTCCTGCAACGCACCCATCTTACAATCAAAAGACATCATAATCAGATGCAGCCAGTCCCGCACAAGATTCCAAGCGAAAGAGCCCATAGTGCTTCAGGTCGCTTTGCTGAGCTTCGTTCCTGCACACTGCTGAGCCAAAGTACAGTCGACGCAAACAAAACAATTCCTGGTACTGCACGGTCAGAGCGAAATCTCCAGTGGCGTGAACGGTGCAACAAGTTGTAATGTTGTCTCGGCCTGAAACTGCATGAGCCACCGAAAAACGTGGTGTTGTGCTTGTATATGTGTGTGTATGTGCCCTGGCCGCCAGGAATCAAATTAAATAAATAGCTGCCCACCCGTACTTTGACTTGTTGAGGCTCCAGTACATTTGGTATTGCACTAAGGCGGTGCTGTCTCGAGCCCATCAAGAAAGCACTGAGCCATGTCTGGCCTCTTCCTGCATCGCCTTTGTGCAAAGTAAAGTGACTAGTTTTCACCTAAACACATGAACATATTGACGTGACATATTAGTCTTCAGATTCGACGGTCCGGCAGGTCGCTGAAAACTGCTCCACATGTTCGCCACGGTTGCCGTTCCTACTTTTGCGCATTGTTGGCAGCGTGCCTGAGCGACTTTATTCCTTTACGAACTGCGTGTAGAGGAACAAACCCTTTCAAAAATGGCATGATAAATTTAGACTAAACAAACAGCTGAGTTCCGCTAAAAACTGGTGTACAAGCTGCTTAACTACACCTACACGTATTGAATGAAACATGCTTGCCCCAGCAGGATGAAATGCCGAATATGCACAAGCAAAATGCGGCAAATTTAATAGCCAAATGCTGCTGGTTCCACCATATGAAATTCCCGCACATTTGTTCACATGTGACAAAACAATGTTTTCGCCTTATCCGTTCCCTTTCCATACGCAAACATATTCAATTGCACATCCAATTCGTTTAGAATGTAGAACTTTCGTAAACCGCAAGTCTTCACAAAGGATGCACTCCATCCACCCCCACCCCCACTCCACACACACACAGACAAACCTACACACACACACAAGGAGATACACACAAACACACACACACACTCATGCACGCACGCCTGCACCGACACACACACACACAAACACACAAACACACAAAAGCACAAAAACACACCATCAAGCAAGCAAGCAAGCAAGCAAGCAAGCAAGCAAGCAAGCCAGCAAGCAAGCAAGCAAGCAAGCAAGCAAGCAAGCAAGCAAGCAAGCAAGCAAGCAAGCAAGCAATCGAACGAGAGAGCAAGCAAGCAGGCAAGCGCCTGCACAGGCACACAAAGCCTCTCGGCGAGAAAACAAAATAACTATGAACAGATTGTCAATATATATATATATATATATGCATATACTTATAATATATAGAGATTGAGTAATAATTATGTTGTAGATCAGCTTGCTTATTTTACAGCTCATGGTGTCGGACTTTATTTGAAGCCCATTCGCCAGTATACCCGCGCATCCAAAGGTTGCAGACTCTCTTCACTCCTGGCTGAGACAGGAATGATCAAAAAAGTTTGCGCATGTTATGCAGGCGGGCTCCTTGGGCAACGGGCATGCCGCCATGCAGAGCGAGCTCATCGATATTGCCGTCTGGCAACTGGGAATAGAACAAGATCGCTGAGCCCTGCCGCAAGAAACACTGCATGGGAAATCACTCCACTTGCTTCACTGAAGGTCACCTCCACTTCAAAACTCATTGAAACGATCAAGCTTCACATGTACATTGCGACAAGGGTTCTGTGCCCGCAAACACACGAACACATATGCAAGCTGTACTCTGACATCCCGCCTTCATAGGATGGACTTGCAGTCCCACGTCACCAAAGGCACGCGGGAAAGATGTGCCTCCGCCCTGAATCAACCCGGCAAAATGGCTACAAATAGTTTGCGAGCCTGTCCAAAGCGTGGCTAGTAGTATCTTAACAGCTTTGAGTTGAGGCAGCGCCTCTTCTGAAGGTTCCAAATAGATCAGCAGCGTTGCCAGTCGTCGAGCAAAAGCTTAGCTCGCATTGTGAGAAGGTGCCCATCAAGAGAGCAACACAACACACGACAAAAGGTGGAACGTAGCGTGCCGTGTTTGACTGCCGCATGAGAATTGATTTGCTAAATGGGTGCAATTTGGGCTGCAAGAAAGCTGCGAGAATGATCGTTGTGTGGCACATACCTGAGCAAAGGTTTCTGTGAGATTTCGTTCGACCTGTCAATGCACCCAGAATTTGGCTGGGGCTCTCCTGACCGCGCTCATAGCGTACCACCTGCAGCTGCTCGGCAGCCGCCCGCAGCTCATCATCGGTGACCTGACCCACACACCCAAACTCCCGCAGTGCTTCCACACTTCGGCGCTTCGGCACTCCGGCACGCGGAATACGACATGCCCCAATCCTCGCATGAACCCTGCGCCGAGTGGCACCCAGGACATCAGCAAACCGTTTGTGCATGGTCTCCAACGCGGGGCTCACCTTAGGGAACCAGCAGCCGAGAACCAACATTTCGCATGACGTGAGCCGCGGTCAAACTTTGTTGTGCCCTCCGCTCAGATTAGCGTTTGCAGTAAGCGAGGAGTATTGACCGCAACAATCGCTGCAATAAGCAGGCAACCCCACGCACACTGCAAGCAGCCAACAAGGCTGTCTTGGGACGACTGGAATCGTGAAAGATGGCAGCAGCAAGCTATGTTCATTTGGGCAAGGAAGCCTGTTGAGTTGAAGGCACTGTTCGATTGAGAAAAGTAGTTGAGGAGGTCCGCAGAAGGCTCTCCTGGCCATAATTGCTGCCAGTGCGGGATCGCTCCAGCAAAGGCTCTGCCAGGGCCACCACATGGGCCTTGGTCTGTGAACACGCAAACCGCATTGCCCACACTGCATTGCACAAAAGCTGCCCTGAGTTGCAGTGACACAAACCATGGTGTGCTACATACAAGCACAAACAGCGTGTCATTGCGCGAATGCCTTCAAAGAAACACACTCTTCAGCCGTCAGCAAGTCGCGGATCAGGAAGGCCCGCGGCGCTCCGGCAGGAGGTGACAAAGAAATGAGCTGCATCTCAGTTGGTACACCTCCCAGGCTAAGATTTAAGTTTGCCATAATTGACTCAAACCTGCATTGCCAAACTCTAACCGGGCCTGCAACGTGCGACTCTCTGCGCAGCTGCACTGAATGGGCAACTTCCCCCAGGCCGCTGCTCGAGCGGATGTGAAGCACTGGAGGCACTGGAGGATACTCCGCTAACCTAGGGCACAACAGCGTCTGCTCAAGCCGAAGTCCACAGTCTTCGGCTTTTTGCTTGGCCCATATATTGTTCAGAATTGTTCTGGTACATCCCGAGTAACTGAATCCGATGAGACTCATTCATCAAGACAACATCTGTGTAATCTACTTCTCCTCTCTCAAGGCAAAACACAGCATGCAACTAAGGGGCTCGCCAGTGCCTCCCTGTAGATTCGAAATACTCTCTTTCAAAGTCTATCTGCTTCTTGTAGGTCAAGAACTGCCTCGGGCTATCTGGTAGAGCTCAGCACGGCCACAAACTTGGCATGTTTAATGTGGTGCAACACTAAGATTGACACATGTCAACATCTCTTGCGATGCTGGCACCGCTTTGCTTGAGTGCCAGGCGGGTGCTCGCGGGATACATCATCCGGCAACGCAGCATAGTTGCGCTCGTTCAAGCCTCAATGTCAGTGCCAGCAAATCAGCAACAGAGCATAAATATATATATATATATATACATACATATATAGATGTATGTATATATGTATATGTATATATATGTATATATATATATATTTGTGTGCTACCTCCTTTTCCAGGGGCTTACCTTTTTGTTGCCTCTCCAGTGCATGACTTGCCTATCTAGGACTGGAAGGAAGGATCTTCCAATAGGATTAGAACGAAATAGGACTAGAACCAAGGATCTCTCAACTAGGACTAGGACCAGACTAGGACTAGACGACTTAGCGCTGATTCTTGTGGTAATTGGATTTCAAGTATAATGTCCTCTGTAATGTCTTTTGTACGTCTTTTGTACTTTCAAAATATGTCAGTAAACTAGGACCAAACTAGGGCTAGAACCAAGGATCTCTCAACTAAGACTAGGGCCAAACTAGGACTGGACTTCTCAACTCTAAGTCTTATAGTATTTGAACTTTAGGTATACTCTTGTGTTGGAAAGGACATCCTGTGTAACAATTCAATTGAAATAGACTAACCAATTTTTGATTACACCAGCCTGGCTGCCCCAAACAGCAAAAACATGACAGGTCTGTATAACCAAAAACCGGCTTGTCTCCTTCATGTAAGGCGCGAAATTGGGTAGCAACACATAGTTACAATCAGTCCACGTATGTCCCTGCAGGAAGTCCCCTTTTTTGGGAAGAGGACACATCGGGTCCATCCATCTCCTTGACGCCGGGTAAAAGCATCGATTTTGTTCATCGACTTCGAGGAGAAAATTCCATGTCATTAATGCCATGTTCGAGAGTGAAGGCCCCGATTCGGGGTGAATCAACCTAACACCTGGCATTAATCAAAGGAAGCCCGCCGACAACAAGGCGGCGTATTGGACATAAGAAATGCTCCTTACCTGTTACCCCTCCCCTTACCCCTCAGACTATTGCGGGGGGGGGGGGCGTCCACGTACCACGCGGTGACCGCTAAAATCCTTTCTTTAAACATTGGGGTGTTCGATTTCCCCCGGGTCCGCTTTTGCATCCTTAGCACCTCCTGGGCAACATCGCCAGCATCACCTGCATCATCCGCATCAGCGCCTGCCAAGGATGCGGATGATGCAAGTGATGCTGGGGATGTTGCCCATGCTGGTGAAGGAACATCTGGAAATGAAGGAAAAGGCATGGAAATGAAGAACATGAAGTGAAACAAAAGAAAGAGAGCAAAAACATACATAAAGGGACATGAGCCGAAGTGAAGGAAAGTGAAGGGAAATGAAGGTCTTCGATGAATGGGGGAAAAATGCTTTAGGGGGGGAACTGGGGAGAAGATCGGGGGGGGGGGAGGGGAAGGGAAAGACCTTGGGGGACAAACGCCTCAGGGGGAAACAGGGGAAAGGATCTCAACCGGGAAAGGGGGAAAAGATCTTAGCGAGGAAAAAAAAGAAGATCTCAGGGGGGGAAGCTCTCAGGGGGGGGAATGCCTTAGGCGGGAAAGGGTGGGAAAGATCTCAACAGGGAAAGGGGGGAAAAGATCTTAGGGAGGAAAAGGGAGAAGATTAGGGGGAAGGGGGGAAAGGATCTCAACAGGGAAAGGGGGCAAAGGGTCTTAGGGAGGAAAATGGGGAAGATCTCAGCGCGGGGGAAAGGCCTTAGGGAGGAAAGGGGGGAAAGGATCTCAACAGGAAAAGGGGGGGGAAAGATCTCAGGGAGGAAAGGGAGAAGATCTGGGGAAAAAATGCCGTTGGGAGGAAAGGGAGGAGAAGATCTTTGGGAGGAAAAGGGAAATCTTTCTTTCTCGGGGGGAAAAGGCCCTAGGGGGCAATGGGGGGAAATGATCTCAAACGGGAAAGGGGGGAACAATTAGGGAGGAGAAGGGTGAAGATCTTGGGGGAAAAGGCCATAGGGGGGAAAAGAAGAAGGCTTTAGGGTGGGAAAGGCCTTGGAGGGGGGGAAGGGGGGAAAGGATCTCAGCAGGGAAAGGGGGGGAAAGATCTTAGGGAGGAAAGGGAGAAGATCTGGGGGCAAATGCCTTAGGAGGGAAAGGGGAGAAATGAATGCGAAAATGATCTCAACACAAAAAAGGGCTGGCAAAGATCTTAGGGAGAAAAAGGTCAACAGGGAAAGGGGGGAAAGATCTTAGGAAGGAAAAGGGAGAAGCTCTCAGGGAGGCCTTAGGGGGGAAAGGGTGGGAAGGATGTTAACAGGGAAAGTGGGGAAGAAATCTTAGGAAGGAAAGGGAAAAATCTAAAAAGGCCTTAGGGGGAAGGGGGGAAAGGATCTCAACAGTGAAAGGGGGGGACAGATCTTAGGGAGGAATAGGGAGAAGATCTCAGCGGGGGGAAAGGCCTTAGGGGGGAAGGGGGGGAAAGGGGGGGAAGGGGGGAAAGGATCTCAACAGGGAAAAGATCTCAAGGGGGGAAAAGGCCTTAGGAGAGAAGATCTCAAGGGGGAAAAGGCCTTAATGGGGAAAGGGTGGAAAATATCTTAACAGGGAGAAGGGGGAAAACATCGTAGCAAGGAAAGGGAAAAATCTCAGAGGGAGAAAGGGCCTTAGGGGGCAAAGGGGGGGAAAAATCTTAGAGGGGAAGGGGGGCAAGGGGGCAATTCCAAAGGGACGCAAATAAGAAAGCAGGCCTGTAATGTCGGCGGCTTGAGCCGGAGGCGTTAAAATTTCGAAGGAAGCTTCGTAGTACGAACATTCAATGCACTTTCCCATTCCCGCAGCATTTGGTGGCCGTCTCGCTACTCTGCTGAAACTTGCGCATCAGTCTCAGCAGCTTGCGGCCAAGACTGGACACATGCCAATTCTGGTTGCTATCTTCTTCTCGAGCTCTGCTAAAGGTCTTGCCACAAGCAAAGCAAGAAAGCACTTGCATAAACTTGCAGACTGCGCCTTGTAGCGCTACGGCCGGGACATCCTCGCCTAGCAACGCAGACACACGCCGCGCCAAAAGGCAAGCGTCACCAACGCACCTCTGTCACCCGGCACAGCTCCAGAAAATCCTCAGTGTTTGAGCCGGCAGTAGCTTGGTCATCCAGGGCCTTCATCTCTGTCGTGTCCAGCGCGCCGCATGCTCCCAAGATGGCTTTGAACGTCAGCTCCAGCCCTGCTCCATCTCGGAAACGTGTGAGAACTTTGCCCCAACTTACCAATGCTGGCTGCACAGTGGACACCGCCAGCTTGGCCGGGTTCATCTTGGAGTTGGTGCTTATGGATCGCAGATTGGGGTTCACATGTGTGGTGCACGGCCGGCCGTCATTCCAATGCACGCCGCTGGCAACAACTTCTGGGCCTTGCGTTCACTCAGCTCCAGCAGCACTGTAATCAACTGGCCGGGTTCGTGAACTCTTTCCAAGTTGTCAAGGTCAGCGAAGTAGGTTGCCAGGAAAAGGCTCCTATGCATCAACCAAGTTTTTCGAGGAGAACTCGACAAGTCGAGGGACGATGCAAACAACTCTTACGAGCTAATGGTTTGGTTGGGGACCCGACTCACCCAGGCTTTACTTCTAGGACAATAGAAAAAACCTTGGAGCTTGGACCCCCCCTTACGATGCAACAAGATGATAAATAAATTGTGCTTTCTTGTTTTCTGATGTGTAAGGACAGTTATTCTATCAAACAGGATATCCTGTGTAACATTTAAGTCTACTTTAAGACTAAAATTAAGATTGGAGTTGTTGCTTATCAAGTTATCTTTAACGCTAGATAGAATTTACGTAGAACTTGAGACACATACTAGATAGAATTCATAAGGAAAGAATTCAGAGGTCCCAAAATTGTTGAATGACTTGTGTGTTTCTTGTTCTCTGATTTGTAAGGACAAGTCTTCTATTGGAAAGGATTTGCTGTGCAGCACTTACGTTGAGGTAGAAAGATCCATATGTTAATTGTACTTTAAAACAAGCAAATCTGGTAGGAGTCTTTTCTTGTTAAACTATAAGCTTTATTTCAGTTGGAATTTGAGAGTCGTAGAGTTCATAAGGACAGAGCTCGAGGTCCACAACTTCTTCTTTTTACTTGCCCCAGCACTACCATGTTCATAAAGCACCGTAAAACACGGTGTTTTGTAGCGCTTGTCGCAGTCTCCACCAACGGCCGCTCTCTACATTTGAATTTGGATTTGGTAGGATTTACATGGGATTCAACAAGGAATTGCTTGATCAGAATCCTATTGGACGTTGTGTCTTAAATTTAGAATGTTGATAGAACTGATGTCTTAATACAATCAAGGCCTTGAACCTTGGTACAGCTGGAGTGGTTGGATACATCATTGCCCGCAGCAAAAGTAACAGCGCTTCGCTTCACTCACAGGTTTGCACTTCAGGCATCTAGGTTACACAGTTGCTCCAAGTTTAACATGGTAGCGGAGCAGCGGTCCCTGGCACGCGATCCACGACCACAGCCAGGTTGAGCTCCAACAGGTTCAGGCACACAGTAGTGAGCAACATGGCAGCGCAACAACAACAGCAACAGCAACAGGAACAGCAGCTGGAAGGAATCCACAAATACAAGATATCACCACCACGGTTCATAGGAAAATACAACACATTTGAAGAATGGAAGTACAAGATGACAGCATACCTGGGAGTGCGAGACCCAGCATAAAACAGACTGCTGAGACAGTCAGAGCAATCACAACTGGCAGTTACAAATGACCAACTTGAGACAGCAGCACCTTCACAAGCAATAGCAGAGCAAAGGATACAACTGAGCAACAACTTGCACTACCTCTTAGTGAGCACATGCGATGGACCAGCGTCTACAATCTGCAGGCAAAACATGCAAGGCGACGGATTTGAAACATGGCGGCTGACACACGCAAGGTACTCCATACCACTTGGCACAAGGAGCATTGGGCACCTTACACGGCTGCTAAAACCACAACTTGATGAACAGAAGTTCGAAGAGAGCTTCACAACATGGGAGTTTCAACTCTCCAGGTACGAACAGGGCAACAACCCACTACTACCAGACGCAGTCAAGATTGCAATACTGCTCAAC